GCGGTCATGTACGGCACTCATCCAGCCCCATTCTTGAGTGTTCGAATTTACTTGCAACTTGTTCAAGATGAGGGACACAAATGTCTCTTGGCGGTGCCCTCCTCTCACCAACGGAAAATATGTAGACAATATTTACTGCCACGGAATTCGCCATTCGACTCATTTTGGCATATCTCTGCAAGGCTTACTGAATGGTGGTCAAACTTCAATAGGATCTCATATTCTCCGCTACATTCGGCATGGTCGTCACCGGAGCCGTGGGTCAATTGCCCTCATCTTGCATCACACCATCTCGCCCTTTTCTTAATACTGGTGTTGACTACGCAGGCCCAGTCACAATCGAAACATAGCGAGAAGCAAAAACTCACAAAGGATGACTCACAACTTTTGTCTACTTCTCGATTTCTGCGGTACATCTCCAATCCGTTACTCATCGCAGTATTTCAGCGCTTCGCAGGTCGGCGAGATATCTGCAAAACTATGTCCAGCGACTGTGGTATGGACTTCCTCCCGCGCAGCTATCAATCTCAAGAGACAATTTATTTTCAGATCAAAAGAATACAAGGAACTTGTTCAACTCCTGGCCAATAATGATACTGATTAGATCTTCAATCCATCCGCAGCTCCCCATTTTGCTGGAAAATGGGAGGCTGCGGTCAAATCGGTAAAACATCATCTACGGCGAGCCATAAGAAAGACTGTCTTGATGACCTATGTCGAACTTACAATTCTTCCGGTCCAAATCGAGGCAGTTCTCAATTGACGATCTCTGGAGCCCCTATCTGGTGATCCAGAAGACCTCAATGCTCTCACGCCTGGACATTTCCTCATAGGAGAAGCACTTACAACCATTCCGGAACCCATCACTCTCATTGGTAACGGTGTCAAGACTTATCCGTTGGCAAATCTCTAACTGACATTACCCATTAAATCAAATCAAGGAAAATTCTCTAATGCTCTTCACCGATGAATAAATTTCCACCATCAAAATGGCCACTTGCTAGGGTTATCTCCCTCCATCCCGGTTCAAACGGTCTCACTCGGGTGGTAACTGTCATGACAGCAATAACTACCCTGGTTCGGTCCATCTCCAAACTTTCAGTGTTACTATTATCAACGGACAATCATCGTTCGTCAACGCTGTTAGGCGAAAGCGGGCGGAATGTTTGGAAATGACAAGATGTTGCACGCGCTCAGCTCCTAACCCCTCTCCTGTCACACACATGCATCCAAGAACATACGATCAACTGTCCAACTCACGCATCCGGGACGTGGCGCCAGCCTGCGTTCTCTTTTGGGAACTACTCGTGGTGTTCCCCCTCTTTCGGCTCAGCCTACTTGTCCTACCGAACAGTATTCAAAACGGACCCCACAACAAGCGGACATCTTTCCTCGCATCGCGTGAACCAAAGTGTACTTACCAAAGTCTAGCTCAGTTTAGTTATTGTTTTCTCTCGTTCAACGTATTATGTATTTTGTGTTCAACTTTTTGTAGTATTATTTGTGTTAATTTGAATATTAAAGTGAATAAATCTCGTAAATACGTGTGCTACAACGTACAACCACGTGTTGCGCCGGTTCGACCGGCAAATCTTACCTAGATTTCAATCATTTTTTCCTATTCACTACCACCACCAGATATTCCTCAGGATCCTCTCGAAACACCAGGTATTTTCATTGTCACGCGTTTGACCGCGTATTGTCAGACACTTCACAAAAAAGTACAAAGCACAGAACTGTCACTATACGTATTGCCTTTTGAAAATCCTTACACTGTTATTTAAAAAAAAAAGAACTTTCGTAGATGTGAGTTCGACGTATGATTCTCACGCCCCTAAAGTACCGACTGTGTTTCACACGTGGACACTTGGGTCTTTTCGTGAATACGAGCGGTTAAAATGTCGGACTCCCACGCCACCACCTTCAATTACACGTAACGGTTGGCACTATACCGACACTCTGTACCAATGACACTACGCGTACAATACACCACAGCACGACTATTTCAAGTTATCACCGGTACGAGAGTACACTGAACGAACGTGAAATAGTATCCAGTCCACCTAGTCACCTGTTATAATTAAGCAAGTTGACCCTCTTTTCAGTTGAAATTTTATTTACGGATAACCGTCGCTGCGATGCAACACACTTCCGACACATGAGTAAACATTCCTGTCCTTTGTGTGATAATGTTACAACGTGTTCTTTATTCAGCATGAAACACCGGAGATTAAATTGCGCATACATGAGAAACGATGAAAAAATGTCAATGGCCACAATTTGTTTTCTGTCATTCGTTCGTTCGTTTGCTTGATCGTTCACGTACGAACACCGTTGAATCGGGTTTAATCGGGTCAAATCGGCTGAATTCAGGTTATGGCCATTGGGGTGTCGAGCATGCTTTGCATGACGCGGTCCAACGACAGGTATGTATATCACGTGGTTCGTCGCGCGTCCCTTCTCAGTCGCAACGTCACTGATACAGTCCTTTTCTCGAGCGACTTTTGTTCAAAATATCCAACCGCGGGGTCAGTGTTCCGTCGGCGATTTCTCGCTCTGTGTGTATGTGAATAGGCGCTTCAACGTGTCCGATTATTGGTTGCGATCGGGTACGTACACTAGTAGACACGCTGCATATACCGACATCGTGTTCTGGCGCCGTCGGCGCTGCTGCTGCGGACGGAGAAGGCCAGAGTAATAAAACTGGCTAACACCCCCGCGAAAGCGCTGCAATGAACTCGCCCGGTTCGAAGGGTCAAAAGCACCGCGGCAAAATAATAACAGAACGCAGCCGCCGCCGCCGCTATCACCACTGTCGTCGTCGTGCGAGCTGAGGGGTCAGCAGCGTCACCACCGTTACCGACGTCACGAGCGACCTTCTTAAAGCAAGCTGTTGCCGTCGGTACTGTTGTCGCGTTGTTTCTGCTGTTGCCGCCGCCGCCGCGAGAAAAGCGGCGCGACGCCCCGACGCGGCGGATAGTTGTCAAAACAGCACGTCGCGCGTTACTGCTGCTTCTGCCACAGCTGCTGCTGCTGCCGCTGCTGCTGCTACCACTACTACTACTACTACTACTGTTGTTGCTAATACTGTTCCACCTTCTGCTCCTCCTTCTCCTCCTCCTTTTCCTTCTCCTTTTCCGTCTACTGCTGTTGTTGTTGCTATTACTGCTGCTTTTGTTGATGGTTGTTCGCGGTCGCGGGTTTTGGCGGGTTTCCACGAGCGACGAGCGCGCACACCACTGGCACACACCGCGGCCGCCGTGCATTCACCTCGTCCTCACACCTTGCGCCACTGCTCTCGTCGCCGTCACTGTCACTGTCGCCGCCACCGTTTTTAAAGTTATTCCTCGTCCTGTCCGTAATATTGTCCTTTCCCGTTCGGTTTCTGATATGTTTCCTCGCGCGAATTTTGCCGATTCGCACCGCCGTGCACGGCTCCCTTGTAATTTTCGTCGTGCACTGCGGCGAAACCGTGTGTCGCTTCGCCACGTTTCTCTCCGACACGCGTGGAGATTACACACCCTTAAACTAACCTTACCGCCTCCGCGACAACCGATTGCAATTATCGATTCACGAAATAATGCATACAAACTAATCAACGTCTTTTCGCTAGATACGAGATTTGTATCCCCTAATCGCGGAGATACCGCATCACTTTCACGGGCGAACATGGAGCCCGATCCATGCCGAGTGTTTTATGAAACATCCGCAGCTCCGTTTTGCGGCGCTTCTTATATCTGTCGTTCCCCTCTGCCTCTTTATATGTTCTCCTTTTCCATGTGGTCTTCGCCAGCTCGACAGGTTTACCAACTCTCATGTGCAGCGCAAATTAATGCTTTCAACTATATACCATTTCATTGTTATTTAAAAATTAAATAGCTTTAAGTATGACTGTCGTTATCTTCCGAACTAGAATTAATGATTTATCTTCACTATTAACAAAATGCAAATAAGTTTTTTTTCAGTTTTTTCTTTTTTGCTATTTTTGTCTGCCACTTTGTTAATTTTGAAGATAAATCATTAATTCTTGTTCGAACGGTAATGAAAATCATACTAATCAAAAATCCGTTTGGATTTTTTGTTTCAGATAAGTCTAACAGCTGGAATGACCAGCGCCAACGAAGTATCGCACATGCATCTAGATCACCATTTTAAAAACACTAATTTTATAACTTTTATATTTTTTATTTATGTAGAAATGTAGTTTAATAAATAGAAAAAAGTTTTATACCATTTACATTAGTGAATGAACAACTTTTGTTTCAAAATTGAGTGATTTCCATTGTGTTTGTTTCTTAGCGGATGGCCAACGCTTAGTTGTAATCTAAAATGAAACGTAACAATTAATAACAATACTAGTAATAATAAAATAATGCTGATTTCCATACATTTATCCCTAATCTCTAATGTAGGTCTTATGAGTATAAATTAACAGATATTAATTAAATTTACCTCGCATGAGGGTCAAACACGACTGGAAACAGTACAACAATAACTACGAATACTTAAGCTACCTTCATATGCTGCAGTACAAAGGCGGATTTGCAACGCCGTAAAATTTTATAGAGGTATCTGATTAGCTGTGCACCTGACTAGGGTTTTTCATTCTAAACTCACTAACATTTGTATATAATAAATACACATAAATGATAAATTATTGCTTTAATATACTTTACTTAAAAAAGTCGCAAATATTTTTACTATGTGATACGAAGAAAATTGCAAATTCATATTTAAATTTGTAAGGATTAGGGTGCTTATGCTTATGATACCTAATGATACCTATTTAATTTGAATAACAGCGGGTACATTTTATATGCGTGCATATAAGTATACTAGGTATTAATGCATACGAACAGGAACATTTGTTTTCAATCGGACTACCTTAATACCGGTAATTGCTAGTCTTGTCTATTGTTTTCGAATACCGTTTAAGAACTTAAATACTGTTGTAATAATATTATAATTACAATTTTATATTTGGAGACTTAGCATTGATAATGGATGATTCTACTTTAGAAAGTGTAAAAGAAGTCTTTGGTACAGATTTTCAACAGTATGTACTCATTTTGGTTGTAGTTGTCTCTGTTATATTTTTTTATCTTCCAGTTTAATAAACGTTGTCTTTTACTTTTTAATTAGATACTGCAAACGTCATAAAATAACATTGAAAAAAGATAAATGTGGCACTTTTATGGTACCTAATGTTAACATTCTAACAGAGTGTATAGATATTCTTGATAGATCTAAATTCAAAATAAATGATCGACTGATGAAAATACAGAAGCCTAAAGCATCTCTAAATTCTGGGGACAATAAGAAACAACATTTTAAAAGTATTATAATTTTAAGATTCGATACTACTTGTTTTTTCATACAATTTTGATTATTACCATGAAAATTGCAACTTTAGTTTATGTTATTGAATTTTCTCAAATCTGGAGATATTGAAAAAGTTCATATATAAAAATATTCATTTTAGGATTACCTAAAGATGGCAAAAATAATAACAGAAAGAAGCAAAATTTTTATGAAAAAACCAGAGATATTTCCCCCAATTTATTTCTTACTAATTTACCATTACAAATTTATGTATATGACACATCATCCATTTTACCCAGTCACACAATTCACACAGTTTCAACAGATTATATTTTAAACACAGCAAAAACTGGAAATGAAATATATGAATTTATTGTGAAGGACACAATGAAGGATGTGGTTATTGTTAATTTTGAAACTTCTATTTCATTTATATCTTCTCTTTTAAAACAGTTTCAGACAAGGCATAAGAGATTTCATTACAGTAGTGTTTTACAACATTTAACTCAGGAACATGAATCTAATAAGGAATTAAAATGCAAATATGAAGTTTCTAGGAAGCAATTATACTCATTTTTTGATCTTATATTTTCAAAAGTAGTTCCTCTGGCTATATTTGGAAAATTAAGAAACCTTAAGAAAATAAAAAAAGCCATGCATCAACTTTTAAATATACCACGTTTTAAATCTTTAAATTTGATGCTACTTATTGAAAAACTAGATGTATGTAATCATTGACTGAGGCTATTATTAGTATTAGTCTATTAGTAGTGAAATTTAATTGATTTATATATTCTAGATTTCTAGCATTACATGGTTAAAGAGCATCCAATCTCTAGAGACACAATGGCTTGTCTTAGCAAAATTAGTAAAGTGGTTTTTTACTGGATATCTTCTAAAAGTATTACGTATTCAGTTTCATATAACATCACTTTCTGCAGCCAATAATGAAAGATTATATATTGCTCGTTCAAATTGGAGTTTCATTCAAAAAAAATTTATTAAGAAGAAGATATCATCAAACACCTTACAACCTGAAATCGAATGTACTGAATGGAATCCACCAATAGGGATCTATAAATTACGTCCCAAACATTCTAGTGTACGTCCAATATTTCTGTCAGAGTGAGTAAAATAATTTTTGTTGTAACTTATTCAAAAAAAGTGTCTATTAAATTTTCTTCTGTCATTTGTTACTTATTAGGTATCAAGAGAATGATAAAAACGATTTAAATACAGTTTTTAAGTTTTTAAGGCAATTACATATTACAGAGTATGGATTAACTAATTTTCAAGAAAAATGGAAATCAATTATTCAATGCAAACGTAAATCAAAGACTGAAAAGATGTATATTGTATCTTGTGATGTAATAGATGCTTTTGGTTCTATAATACAGAGTATAACTTCTTTTAATATAAAATATTTTATGTATAATGCAATTCAATAAATTGTATTGTACTAATGCTAGTTACAATAAAATTTATTGTGTCATATTCATGAATATATATGTCAAAATTTTTATTCCACATTCAGGTCAGTTATATGATATTATAAAGTCACTCTGTAAAAAAATTCCTGAAGTTCTAATACTCAGTTCCTATGCAGTTAAATGTGAAAGGAACAAGACTGATAATACTTTGTGTTACAAAAAGTACTTTTCTAATGCCAATTTACAATTACCCTTGCCATTTGGAACTTTGTATGCATGTACAAGTAAAGGCAATTCTCAATGCGTACGAAAAAGCTGGTTACTAGAAAAGATTTGGAAATATATCTTTTATCAAAGGGTATATAATCTAAATTGACACTAATCTAAATTGATAGTTTTAACTACTTAAATATTTAGATCACTGAGAATACATACATTTCTCTTGAAACGTTAATATTTTAATTGGTAGGTGAAAATACGTAAGAAGATTTACATTATAGGTAAAGGAATAGTTCAAGGGACAATGTTGTCACCTATTTTATCAGACATTTATTATAATTTTGTATTACAAAAAGAAATGTCTTCATTTCTAAACTGTGGTGAAATTATAAGATATATGGATGATATTTTATATGTTACTGCTAATGAAATTCTTGCAAAAGAGTAAGATATGACACTTTTTGTAATTTATACATACGAAATTCATAAAAATTTTGTGTAAATGATATTAATTTATACATTTTGTACAATAGGTTCTTAGAGCTGATAAAGAAAGGTATTCCACAATATAACTGTTATTTTAAAGAATTAAAAACACAAAGCAATATTGTTGATATTTCAAGTCCAGCTGTACACAGTATTACTTATATTGGTTACAAAATCAATTGTGATACATTAGAAGTTGAGCCTAAACATGCAGATACAAATATACGTTATTTAATATCATTTTCTTCAAAAAATGATTTAACTCCTCTAGAGTATGTAAATCTTTAATAAATGTTTAATACATTATTCCATATCAATTTTAAAATCACAATTTTTTTAGACTTTTAAAAAAGCGGCTACATAATGTGGCTTGTCTGAAATTATCAAAAGTTGTCTTAGACAACGAAATTAATTCTGAAATGACTATGATGAAAATATTAAAACAGACGTGTTTAATACAAGCAAAACGTGCAAAAGTGTTAGTAAAAGAATTATTTAATGATGTTGAACTGAATTCTCAAGACATATTTAAAGTCTTAAAAAACAGTAACAAGAAAATTGCAAGACATGTTATAAAAATTTTATTAACATGTAAGGTTTTATGCATTCACAATTTATTCATTATTCTATAGTATAACAATATATAAAACAATTATCGTATTATGTATTTATTTCAGTCGAAGAAAACATGAGCGGAAAAGATATTCGTGAATGGAATAAGAAAATTCTTCGTGTTTTATGGATATCCTACAAAAAGATTTTTAAGAAAGATAAATTTTGGAAAAATATTTTATAAAAGTTTATATACAATAAATAATGTTAATTATGGAGTTGCAGATATCTACTTGTCTTAACTTTCTTTCATACAATAAATACCAATTGAGTGAAATTATATGAATTTACAAAAAAAAAAGAACAAAACCATGTGACTAACTGGTGACTTCACAGAGGTCCTCACGAGCAAACTCTGCTTCCGGTAGAGGAAAAAGTGATGTAAAGGAAAGACCTCCTACCACTTGATCTTGGAGTTATTGAAACTTATGCGAAATTAACATTTGATTTAACATTTATTTCAGTATTTGAAATAAATTTACCAAGTAGTAGGAGGCCCTAACCCCTACATTGCTTTTTCCCCTAGTCGAAGTCGAGTTTGCTCGTCGGTGAACAATGATTCCTCGATGAATGCGGCACGAACAACGGCGTTATTACCACCACTGGGGGTTTCCCTTCTGGAACCAATCGAAAAAGAGTAAACAGAAATTAAGCAAAGGCTTGGTTTCATGGAAAAAAACAAATTGATGTGGGCTCTTTCAGCCTTGCCACGAATGCTCCGAAGCGGACCCAAGTTCGTCGCACTTATCGAGAAATTACTGTAGTTAGGAACACAAAAAGATATTCATACCAGTTCCTAAACGCAAACTAGAACTTATCACATTTATAGGTTTGGTCACCGACGAGGTATACTTCAATATACTTCGTCTGTGGTTTGGCATAAGGCGGATGATATATGCACACATATACACAATTAAATAATCAAGTTGTAAATTTGAAAAAAAAAATTCAAGGAAGAACAATCGGTTCTCAATTTTTAGAATCCGAAATCGATTCGTAGAAAAATCAAGCAACAGAGAATCGATTCAAAAGATCGACCTTTTAACTAAAAGAATCGAATCGGAATCAAACATTGATCGAACATCCCTATATGCAAGCACTAAGTACTTACGCTTGAAAAATATCCAGTCCGAAAACGGAACGGAATAATAAACACATACAAAAGGTATCTGTGTGATTATCCCCCATCGAGTGATCCCTACAATAGTGGCTTATAGTGACGGCGCGAGCTGCAAAGTATTGGACAGCCGATATTGTTGCATATGCATATGTACATATGTACCATACGTCCTATACACAGAGCATACACATTACTACCATATACTACTTTCCTAGCATGCGGTAACGTGCACATATAGTACCGTATTACGTTCACCACTTATGTATAAATACGTAGAAATTGAAAGTAACGTGAAGAAGCGTAGGTTAAAGTGTTATAATATAATCTTTCATTTCTTGGTTAAAAGAGCATACATAAAATTTTTATTATGTTCCGTTTGATTTACTCTAATGTTTAGTTCGAAGGTTCGTTATAAATATGTACAATTGCTTTCATGATAAATTATTTTAAATTAACGTTTGATCATTTTGAAAAATCAAATTTAAAATAAGACTGTTTACAGGTTGAAAAGCACATTAAATTAAAATACATACAATGTTTATCATATTGTCCTATGCTGCAGAAGAATTTATGGACATAAGCAAGTAACTTATGCTAAATGTACTTCCTTAAGTATATTGTTCATTGTACATGAACAGTAATTTATTAAAAAGAAATGGTAAACAGTAAGATGTTTTTATTGTGGATAATAGTAGCAGAAGTAAGAATGTTTTAGAATTAACAATAAATGACTATGAATATTTTTAACAGTATTGAACTTTATACATTACATGATATTTATTTTAAAGCATAAGAGACAGCAAAAGGAAACATTCATTTTTATAAGCAATGTTTATCTGTTTTGCAAAAGAAATGAACTCTTTATGAAATATATACAAACTTATTGTACAAATATTGTACAAACTCATGATAATAGAAGGGGGAAATTTTTATATTCTCCTGTGACTTTTGTTGATAAACAATATCAAGAAGAAGAAGAAGAAATTAAATAGAATATTCATAAATTAACTTTGAAGAATATCACAAAAGTTCTGAGACATAGTTGATAATGTCAAAACAGTGTGATGTGTGTTCAATGACCTTCCAAGATGAGTATGCCTTGCAAGGTCACCTTGGAGGTAAAAAACACTTGAAAAGAGTGGAACAATCAGAGGTGATAAAAAGATCAATTTTTGTATCACCATTACCAAAATTTATTTCTGCGTGTGATCTTATTGACTTTTTTCAAAAGTATGGTCCAATCAAATGGCATAAATTTAGTAACAATTATCTCATTATTGAATTTGCAAATAGGTAAACAAATTTTTGTTACAAACATTTATTAATAATATATAGTTTATTTTTGAATTTATTCTGTGCTTACAATTATAATCAAACATTTGGTGTCATAGGAATTCTACAGAAGCTGTATTAAGGAAACCTGTTTGGATAAATAATGTAAAGCTAAACGTAAACAGAAGAATATTACACACACGTAAGTACTATTACATAAGATGTGTAATAGACAGTTAACAAATTTGGTACTTTACATATACTGTAATATTTATTTCAATACTGCTACTTGTTTGGAAGTCTGGACAATTATTGTGGAAAAATATCAGGTCATGTGAGATTAATTTAACAAACATAAGATTTACAATATACTTATTTTCTTTCGCTTACTTAGATTTCCTTTCAAATAACAAGAATGAAATAATTTATTATTAGATTTCATTTTCATCAAGAGTATCTATTCAATATCTTAAAAACGTTATTATAAATATGCAACAAGCATAAAGGTTTTTACTTTTATTTTCGCTTGAATAATTCTCAATTGTTCTTAGCTGCCAAACACTTTTAGTAAATAAATGAAGCATATGATACGAGTTCTATTTTTGATAAAATACCAATGAATCTGAACAAGAGTTGTAGAATTGAGAATATAGAAAAGTAATTATAACAGTGTTTGAAGCCATGCACTCTGGGAATAAGTACTACAGTTAGTTGCTTTATAACGAATCTCTTTAAAATTATAATAATTTCTTTTTTTAAGATATAAAAAAGCCAAAATCAATAAAGCAAAATAGTCCAATCGAAAATGCAGGCCTAATAAGTTATAATAATATAAAGCATATATTTGAAAAAAATACTATATTTGATAATCAATTAGTAAGATTTTTAAATGCAATTAAACTTACTGATGCTGAAATTGAAATGCGATACGATTCTGTTTGTACTCAGTTGGATAAGATATTTGAGGTAGTATTTCCCAACTGTAAAACATATAAATTTGGATCTACACAAACTGGACTGGGCTTTAAAGAATGTGATTTAGACATATATATGGACATTGGTAAATTTCAAAGTTTTGTTTTCAAATCCTTTTTAAGTGCATTACAATATTAAAGTTTGGTAATTCACACAATAACACATTTTTATTTCAGGCGAGCCAATATCTGAAAGTACAAATGCATCGGCAGATACGTGGACTATGCAGAAGATTTTTAGGGAAGTGAAAAAAATTATGTTCCGACAGAATTGCGTTTTTTCTAACATAGTAATGATTCCAAGAGCTAAAACACCGATTATAAAATTTTGTTACATCCGATCGAATGTCTCTTGTGACATATCATTTAAAAACAGTTTAGGTATATATAAAACTCATCTGATAAAATACTGCATGTCTCTTGATAGTAGAGTAGGGCCATTAATGATACTTATCAAGTATTGGGCAAGAAACTTCAAAATATCTTGCACTGGAAAACTGTCAAATTATGGCCTTGTTTCGTTAATCATTTTTTATCTTCAGCAGCCATCAGTAAAAATTATTCCTCCCTTGTTAGAATTTCAAAAAGATTGTCAACCACAAATTATAAACGGCTGGCAAGTTAATTTCAATGAAAATATAGAATTTCCACCTGTTACAAATAAGAGTAGCATTCCACAACTTCTTCACGGTTTCTTCTTTTTCTATGCATCCTTTGAATATAAGTGTCATATAATTTGCCCATTAGATGCAAAGATATATACAGAATCAGAATTTAAAAATGTGGAAAACCTACCACGATACATGGATAGGTACAAAACATACGTAAAAGAGGATGAGAATTTTAAATTCAAACAGAATACAGCCATATGTCTCCAAGATCCCATAGAACTTAATCATAATGTTACAGCAAGTATACAGTCTTCTACATTGAACACTTTTGTACAGTACTGTACAATTGGTGCTGAAATCTGTACGGAGACCAGTAAAAACGATTATAAGGATTTATTAAAACTTCTTTTTAGTACAGTAATAAAAAAGAAAGTTACTGGGAGCACGTTTAAAGTGAAAATTTCTGCAAGTCAGTTTAAGTACAATAAAGAAACGAATAATGCGGAAACCCGTACAGATGGTACAAAAGAATTGAAGCATACAGAAAATGATTGGTGTTTCACGGTTTTCAATTTAGTGCAAAATATTTTTGAAAAAGTTTTCAAAATAAAAGTAGAAGTTCTACCTGGTAATGTAGAAGCAAAACAACAGAAACTTGAAACATCATCAAATGTGCACACAGAGAAGTACCAAAAAGTTACACTTCATTGTACTGGTTCTCATTGTGTATGGCGTAATAGGAAAATTAACAATGTTGTTTTGGACCCTAGCCTGAATTGCTTGGAAAAAGAAGCTCTTTTTTCCGAAAAAACGATAGAAAACTCTGAAAAGGAACAATCAACAAATAGAATAAATTTGGATTTTACATGCACATTTGAAAAACAAGCACATCCTTTATCAGTTACCTTAACTGTAAATAATAAAAAATCTGACGATCATATTTTCAAGGAGTTTGCATATTTTGCGAAACGTAAGTTACTCGAGATAATAAAACAAACATTGACGTACATGCAACAATACAACAAATGTTACTAAAATGTTTATGTATATGTGTGAACATATAAGTGCATAATTACGGACCAAAGATATTGTGTAACTTTCGGAAGTTATTGCAAATTATATCTGTGACCGTGATAGGATGCATGTTTTTTTTTAAAATGTTACGATTGATCTCACATGAATTCTAATTTATCTTCATTCCCTTATCTTTTTGTGACTGTCTATACTGAAATGGAAATAAAATTCCTGATACAGTTATTCTACACACTTTTTATTCTGTTATATTTTTAGTGTTATAGTATTCCTAATATAGTAGTAACATTATGTTTATATAACGTATAAAAGTTATAATAAAATGTTTTTAATATAACTGTTTTAAGATAGATATTAATCTTTTTATACATAATTAATAGATGTAATTCACTGATATCCAGTACTTCCAGTACTATTAAGTTTTCAAGTTAACATTTAAGGAATATTCACAACTTATTTATTGGTTTGCAACTATTGCCAATTATAGTGGTTTAAAAAAGTTCATTGAACTGTCTTAATAATTATTATAATTAATACTTTATAAAAATAAAATCTATATAAAAACCCTTATAAAAATTTAGAATATTATGACGTTAACAAAAAAATTTAAATAGGCATAATGAATATTATATCATTCTTGATAAGCAAAAATAAAAGTACAAATATCTTTCTACTAATTTCTTCTAAACTTTTCGTTATAATTATATATAAGAATATACATATTTATTTAAGTAGTTTCAACCAAACAGAGGAAGTACTATACAAGATAAGGTATATAAGAATAGAATTCAAAATAGTATTGTTGGGCATAGTTGTTTGAAAACATAGTTTAGTACAGAGTTGATTCAAGGGTGAAGCATTATGAGAAAAATCACTTTTTTCTCGAAATTACAATCTCCGGCATTTAAAGATGTCTTACACTTCTTTCAATCAAAATTTATATTTCTAATATAGAAAAAAACATAGTGAAGTCAGTTCTATCATATACTATATAATATATGACAAAATTTTTAAGTAGAATATATTTAATGCTGCATTAAAAAGAAACTGTTCAAACTGATCTGTTAAAAAACTGCAATGGAATTACGTAATACATTTGTCACTAAAATCTTTTTAAATGAAATGTATCTTCTCTGAACCATTTTTATTTGCACCGTTAGAAACGATAAAGATGTTTCAAAACTTATTTTTGTGCAATTCACTGCGTATATTAATTATCATTTTGTCACAGAAGAATGGGTTCTATACACTTCTTAAAAGTTATTATAATTACATTACAATGTTCAGATTAAGATTACTCATGCTTTCAATAATTTAACGGTTAATATTATGTTCTGAATATATTCCGTACTTATCTCATAAACAGTAATAAAGAAGAGAAAATATTGGAATACAGAATAACATTTCTGTATACACTTTCTTATCTGGCATATTACATGACAATTGTACCTTTACATTCCAATCAAACTTAATAGTTTTAGTTAACAAAAAATGATTTGTTTCTTGTTTTCCCTAAAACATATTTCTAAGTTGTAACTGTGAGTTTCATTTTTCTCAATTGAAATACCATGGAAAATAAATTGTCAGTGGTTTTAATTGTTAATTGTATTCAATTGATTCAGTTATACATATGCAAATGATTTTTATGCACAACAAGACGTTAACGTGTAAGGCGCATAATGCATGAAGTTTGTACAATTATCACACGGTTATACACATCAGGTATTCTAGTGCGATCCCACAAATAGCAATTTTCTTTGCACTACTGTGTATTGTCCCATACAACGTTTATTTAACAAACGTTTGTGCAGAAATTACCATGCATCAAAACATGGCTGTACAATACCAGTGTAACCATTGTTTGACTATTATATTTTTGTGTTTTTCCACAAACTCTTGCGTCTTATGTCATCTTCATATTTAATTTGCATTTCAATTATACGCTATCGAACGATACACAAATTTAATTCAGAAATAAAACAAATTAATGTTCGTGTTGTTCTCTCAATTATTCTTTTGTAAGAATAGATAATAACGTTTTCAATATATTGGTATATTTGATTATATAATTCTACAATGTTGTAAATTTGTGCTTTACACAAATCATTTTAGAATTTTCCACGATATCCGCCACGGCCACGATAAGGTCTCCCTCCTGAATGCTTTCCTCTGTATATATGCGGTTTTACCAGGGGGCTTGATCTACCTCTTATAATTTTTCCTCTTCCATGCCAATCCGAACCTCTTTGGAATGTATGCTCCAATTCTAATTCTTCCGCCGAATCTTCTAATATCATAGGACTTTCGCCACGACTATGATCGCTTCTATTATCATGGAACTCATCACGTTCGTTTAAAGAGTGCCTGTAATTGGGCGAGTATCTATCACGACTATAATGATCTCGCATGGATCCCTTATGGCTGGAAAAATTATCCCTGTTCCTTATCGGGGATCCCAGTTTCAAGTTTCTCGGATTATGATCCATAGAAGACACGGAATCGACGTGATCACGATCATCGTTTCGTCTGGGTGGAGATGCTGTTCTGTTCCAAGTTCGTTTTTGAGAGGAATTACTTAAACTCCACCTCAAATCGTCCGCTTCTCGATATTTAGGTGTGCAATCGAATGTTTCGCGCACGTTCCAATCCAGACGATCCATGATTGGTTTTTTCTCCTCTTTATTAGCTTGTTGTAGATGTTGCGGATAAACTTGCATTTCGAAATCCACCATGGTGACAGTTGCTTGAACAAACTTCGCGCTTGTCTCTACCTCGTCAGTCTGACAAATCTTTTGATGCATCTGTACGTTAGGTTTCACCGGGGTATGGTGATGTCCTTCCTCCTCTTCCCAGCATATTTTGCTTTTGCTTCTTTGCAAAAGTATAGAATTCGACGAATATTCTTCTTTCTCGTTCTGTACACTCTCCTTCGAGGGATCGTAGAAAAATCGCCCTTTCATCTTTAAACGAGGGTCTTCGGTAGGAAGTTCGCGCAGAGCGTGTTCACAGTGGCGCATTATTTCGGGTTTGAATCCTATTACAGTAAGAAACATAAATTTACGTGGAATTGAGATGTCGCCATGTTCAGAATATATTACGTGTACATTATTTTCAAGTGGCAGCGTTATTGAAATTATGCATTTAACTTTTTCGTTTTTATTCTTTCTTAAGATGCAAGGCACCGAATAGAATTCTATGACTTCAAACATTTGAAATGTTTCTTACCTGGATATAAGACTGGTAGACTAGCTGAATCTAGAAAAGGATGTATAACAAAATTAAAAGAAAACCATAATAATATTGTAAATGCGAACTTCAATAACAGCTAGGTAAAAAAAAATATATTCGCACCTTTTGCGGAAACAGATGCTTCCAATAGACTGGATAAACTCGTCTTTTCAAATTGCTGCAAGATCAATTCATAAAACAAATATTAATTCCTCCGGGTAAAAATACAACACTTAACTGGAGACTATATGTGACAAAGCAGAAAAAAAAACATCGGACACTATATAACAATGTAAAGCAAGACATGTGAATATGTAAAAGGAACACTTTGTTACGATATGTAATACAATTACTTTTGTATCAGAGATGACTGGTGGTTCAGGTGTCTTTAGTCGTTCTTCATTTGTGAGGTGATATCCATTATAGGAATCTCGAAAGCTACGCTGTTCCCTGTAGTTCGGAGAGATTTTATCCTTGGGTTTACTCGAAAACTCGAAATTCTGTATCGGTAGGAATTGGTGCCGGAAGAAGCGGTGGTCGATGAGGAGGATGAATCGAACCCGTATTTGGTTGATTGTACATTACTGGCCCGGAAACGTATTCAGTTTGAGGTAGTGGTAGTAACGGTACAGGATCAAAATTCATCGGTTGAGGTGCATTTTCAAAATTTATGAACGGCGGGCCACCCGACGACATTGGTGGCGGCGGCGGTGGCAATCCAGATTGATGCATATAAGGTGCCATTGGCAATGGTGGTCTTGGCTCAGCATCTTGTGGATATGGAACGGGATTTATCAACGGTGGTATGCCATCCATCGGTTGGGGTGGCGCATAACCAGTATTTATATGTGATGTAACTATTGCTTCGTTCCTTAGTTGTCTCGTAAGTTCATTGATAAAAGGTGACCGCTTCCTTGTACGACGTTCTACCGATCTACTTCGACTTCGACTTCGACGTCGAGGACTATAACGTCTAATCGGTGAACGGCTGACTTTTCTCCTAATGCGTTCCACACTGCGGCTTCGTTGTCGATCCCGTGATCGACTTCTTCGGCTTAACAATTTAAAAGTTGAGTTAAAATATTCTACCACAGAAACGTACAGATTTATTAAAGTTTTTCTTATAATATAATAATAAGAACATAAATCTTACATTATGTTTGGATAATATGAAAGACATATTTTACAAGAAAACTTGACGAGGTATTATGTTCTTTTTTTCTACAATCAAAGCAAGAAAGAATATAATGTACATTTTAAAATATGGTCTTCTCACCGTTCGTGTATATTCGTACGTCTTCTGTGTCGTTCAGCGCTCCATCTTCTATCCGCACTTGTTCTTCGTTCCCAACTTAGTCGTCTGACGGGGCTTCTTCGTCGATCCGGGCTGAATCCAAATGGACTTCTCCGGACGCAGTTAAATCTTGGGCTTCTTCTTTTCTCGGGACTGAACCGCATTGGACTTCGATGTTTCTCGATGTTCATCTTGAAAGGACTTCTACAACGTTCTGGTGTCATCAACAACGGTGACTTTCGACGAGGAGAATTTAAAGAATTTAATCTAATCCTATCCGGAGTTCTACGTCGTAACGAATTTCCACCTTGACGCTCAAGACTTCTACGTCGTTCACGGTTTCTATGGACATGCATCTGTGCCTGCTCTAAACTCTGTTTCTCTGCAATGCTTTGAATGGCTTCAACTTCTGTACCCGGAGGTACAACATTGTCAGAATCTAACAGATGCTTAATAGCTTTCTCCTTCTCTGCCAAAAGTTTACTTTCATTGTCCCTTTTTGTACGTATTTTATCCCTCTCTATGTCTTTTGTGCTTTTGGAAGGATCACGTCGTGTTTCTTCATGTTTCTTCTCTTCTCTCTTTGCTCTTTCACGATTATTCGATCCTTTGTGGTCACGACGATGCCTGTCCCTATAAGTAGGCTTGTAGTCATTCTTACCTATACATTACTAATGATTTAAGGGATATTTAAGTATATTTGATAAAATATTGTGATGATATAACATACTGATGGAAATTATATACAATCGAAATGTAATTGAATCTAATTTATAATATTCTGATATTATTATAAAAATATTACATAATAAATTTAATTCTACAAAAAGATTAGTAACAATTGGAAGATAATTCTACATTGTGATGCTACCTAGAAAGACGTTTCTGTTCTTGTTCCTTGGTATGAGAGGATTTAGGATCAACTTCACGACCTTTTTCTTCATCACCTTCCCAAGCATCAACAACATCTAAGCCTTCCATGAAATCTTCATCGTCAAGGAACTCTTGAAGTTCTTCATCCGGAATTTCTTTTAAGCCTTCAATTGCACGTTGTACATCTTCGTTTGTACTCTTTAATGTAGACTCTTTCTTATTAACACTTTTTTTTTCCAATGCTTCATTTTTCACATTGCTTTTGACACTAGTATCTTTCATTTTTTGGGATGTATCACACATTTTTCTGAAAGATTAACTAAACTGCTGCATTAATTAAACAAGTCACACAAAATTGAATAAATTTTATGCTTTTCATAACAAAAATCGTATTTAGTATTTTAAAAAAAAATTATTTTTGTAATCGTCAAAGAAGAAATCGATTAATAATTTGTCAAAAGGTTACCACAATGTTATTGTGTTTTATCTCTGATTTTGTAACTTCGTGTAAGTGGTCACAACAAATTTATTTCAGTTAGACATACTTTTCGATGGTAATATATTAAACCACAGTAAACTTACACGGAATTCACATTATTGAGACTATTTAATCTCTTTCTTTCAATTTTACGCTGAACAAAATTATACTGATGTGTAGTATATCGAATACCAAATAGTAAACGCACCTCTTAACCTTTCAATGGAATATACAAAACTGATATTGACACTCTCATTACGTAAGTTGTATCTTCTTTATTTAGAATCAATATTATTTAAAAAATTGCACGTTCCTTCATTTTGTAAACAACGCATATAATACATTCCTTTTAAAAACTGAAATTAGTTGTTTGCTAGAACTCTGATCTAATGGATAACGTATGCACTTATTGTTAATAATACTTAGTACAGTTAAGTACACAACGTGTGGCGTTAATAATAGTTGAAACGCATATCAATAATAAAAATTAATAACTAACTTGATGCTTTTTAAATTCTATTATGCAGCAATACTTGAATCCGAAAAGTCCGGAACTCGCAAAGACAACATGTACCTATTCCGCCATATTAGTTACTAGTAACAGATTTGAGGTAAGGTACGGATAAAATAAGGGCAAGCTTATATGTGCCTTTGTACGTAAATAAACCAATAAGAAAACAATTCAAGATTACGTATTTTCAGCGGAAAAGTTTTAAACTAATATTTGTACTATATTATTACATGGTAAACGTATTATATTTAACTGCTATTTTTAAATTATTGAATAATAGAAGTTGAAGTTTATTCCTTATTAAAAAATAAGATTTAAGAAACATAAGGACTTTCAATAAGTGTATAAGATAATATAGTGACTCTATTTGCAAAAATAATCTGTATATACTATTTTTATCAATAATTATACATCAAAAAGTCTCTATTTAAAACATTGTATACTAATACAAAATCATTAGTTTATTGTATTTAAAAAAATTGGTAGTATATTAGTCTAACAAGGAGACGGGTTTTTACTTGTGCGAAAAACGGAATTTGAACAGTATTTAGTATAACATCGAAAAAAATAAATGCGATTAGTTTCAACAGAAATATCAAGAGTAAGAAAATTAATATAAAAATAAATCGCGAACGTACTATATTTAATACGATGGACGAAAATAAAAGGAAAATAGTAACTACAGGTTAGTAATTTTCATGTAATTTATAATAAACTTTGTTCATTTACTTTGATAGATTTACTTCTTTCTCTTTCAATCAATGTAATATTCATTGAATAAAAATCTAATTTAATTTGAGGCACAAATTAATGACAATAAATTTGAATGAATATAAATGACATTGTCCATGCTATTATTAGATCTTTTTTACTTTTAAATTTCATTTGTTTCTTAATTTACTTAAAAAATTTTCAGAATTAAGGAACATAAAGTGTGCATGTAATAACAATGATACATGTAAATAAACATCTGTATTTATTATGTTGCAATGTATTATTAAACAATATTAATTAATGGTAAACGACAATCGTAAATTATACCATACGTTTCGTAAGTTCTTTGTCGCATTTTTATAGAACATTCGCAGCATTACGGAAGGAATGCGATAAGGAAATATCTAATAAAGGTTTAAGTCCATCAAATGGAAGTTTAACCATACACACGCTTCCTGTCAATAATCGACTAGGCCTCTAAAGAAAAAACCACAGAAAATCAGACAACAGTTGTAATTAGGTAGCTTTAAATTCAAATTTCATGGTGTAAAACAACTGTTTTTTATTTTTACCGGCTACTCCTTGGACTCAAAGAACGCATTGGTGAATCTCTGTATCTTCTTCGAGATTCAGTTCTAAACTTTTCTCTATCGTCACGCCTATCTCTTTCTCTGTCCCTTTCACGGTCACGGTCACTCTCAAAATCTCTTGTATCCCTTTCTTTTCTGTCTCGGCGAACAAGTCGTGGACTACGTCCAGGACTCGGCGTACGTGACACGGAGGAATGTGAATCAGAACTATGACCTTCATAACGATGTCTTCGTTCCCTTTGTCTGAAAATGATTAATGTCGTTAATTTCGACACACAGTCATAGAATTGAAGGTCAACACATCATATACGTGTTTAAATGTATGATATCGTCTGTAACAATATTGTAACAAAAATACATAAAATTTAAAAAGTAACGATAATCTTGAAATCTCAAAAGAATATACATTGAAAAGTAGTTTTTTTTAATAGAGACATTCTTTCACTGACTAAGGAAAAAGACAAATTTGTGGACTAAAAGCAATGTAGCCTACTTTCTTCGTAACTTCAAAGACATTTCGCGAATTTCATCTTCTCGATCTTGCCGTTGTTGTTCCATTTTCTCAATCCTAAGTTGTTCAGCCTTCTTGTCAGCTTTATCTAATGAACACATTCATAATATTATAATAATGCAATATAAATTAATAATACAAACAGACTGTCCTTACATTGCTTGTTCAATAAAGCCTGCATTTTCTTCTTAAGCCGCTCCTGGGGTGTGATTTTCAGTGACTGAAAAATGTAACTCTTAAAAATCTGTTACCAATTAAAAGAATTTCTGTTAAAATATATGTAGTAAAACATGAAACGTTTCTGAAATTTTAATGTAAATTTCGCTGTGCTGGGATATAACTGCCTATAAAAGATCTTACAATAATATTGAACACAACGAAATAATTTAGAAATGAAGTTTATATTAATATTTCAGAAATTTGTTATGATATGGTATATATTCTATCTACTTATTCTAATATACAAAAAGGATATTTCGTTATAGGATATTCTCCATAATGAAATATCCTTTTATATTAATGTTTATACACGCGAAGAAAGTTGTACCACAAAAAATATGATGTCTATTCTGATAATAGTAACATTATTAGTTAAAAGAAAATAATTTTTCAACAAGAGTCCGAAAAAACTTGTTCATGGCAATGAAATTTATGATTTCAACAAATACTTTCATATGTGTGAGATTCAAATTCTTTGTGGTTTCTTATTGTTAAGTACACGAAAAGAAAAAATCAGAATGAAATAATAAAGTATGGAATTTAAACGCTTAAAAAAAAATATAATGTAAACGCTTTATATTGCCCAACAGAATAAAAACAAGTAGCACTTGCTGAAGTTCTTCGTTGAGAGGGTAGTTATATATAGAGAGTATATACTGTCTTTTATTCTCTGTGCTTTTAGTGACTAAGTAAGCGTTATGGTTCTTACTGACTTTGTGTCCGCCACCAGAATTTGTACTTAACCCTGCTTTTGGCTTGTTCCTGAAATATTAAAAGTAATACATTGTCTCTACATTGCACGAAATATTAATAATGTATCGGGTAATTTAATTATGTTATCTTACGTGCTCGAGGTATTATTAGCCGACGGTTTTGATACTGTCGTCGAGACTTTTTCTTCATTATCTGACAGTTCTAATTCTAAGCTTGATGATTTTCCACGACGACCATAGTATCTAACATTATTGCATGAAAGAAAAATATAAGGAAAAACTGTATACACAGGGAAAATAATTTCAATCTTACCGTGGCAGTGCCGGTGTTTTATTTTCAATGCTTCGGGACCGTTTGCATCTCGATTGACTCCTGGATCGTGATCTTGATCTAGATCTAGACTCCGATTTAGTTCTAGATCGAGATTTAGATACTGACTTCGATGGAGAATAATGTCTTCGGCGATAACTGTCTTTTGAATGGCTTCTGTTGTGCGACTTAGATCTTGATCTCGATTTCGATCTGGATGAACTTTTCGAGGATACACTCCTAGATCTTTTTACACGTGAACGAGACCTAGACCTCGTTTTTGATCTTGAAACGGTACGCGAACGAGACCTACTGAAACTTCTGCAACGCGACCGAGATTTACTTCGACTTCGCGGTCGTCTGGAACGACTTCTCGTTCGAGATCTCGTAACTTTTCGATGCCGTGATCGTGTTCTTCTTGATCTGAAGACGAAGGCACATTATGAACAAAGGTAACTTATACAGTTCGATCGTATCAAACAATTAAAAATTATCCATAATGATCATATTAGAGGTGACACTCAATGTATATGAATAATATAGAATATGCATGAATCTACCTCATTCTTGATGGACTTCGCTTTCTGTCTCTATTCCTATAGGATTTAGATTTATTAACAGATCGAGAACAACTTCGCGACCTTGATTTTGTAAATTTTCTATTTATTGTTCTTTCATTAAGCATCGGACTTTCTGATCTTCTTCGTCTGAGATGAGAATAATTGACTTTCCTTGAATTGGACGAAGTAACGTGGGACGAGCTTCCATGAGTTTCTTCTTCGCCACCGAAACTAGTAATATAAGTAATCTGTCCAGCATTTACAGGTGATGCAGACCGTGAACGAGACTTGGACGAAGATTTTCTATAGGGGTTGTATTCAGGACTCTCTCTCGCCGCATAACTAACAACAAATTAAATAAGAAATTAGCAAGTGTATTTGCTATATCTTTTTACAAATTTAATAATATAAACGTTGAAAACGTAACCAATTACCTGGGTGGACTCATAACTCGACCAATCATTTTTTTCTCTCTAAATGCACGTCGTTCTCTGCGTGATCTTCTACCCTATATAAATATGTTATAAAGTAATTGTAATTAATTTTTTTTTTTGTGTATCTTCATTGTATTACACAATTATAAGCAAACAAAACTATTTTACCGAGTACATGGCTTTTTCTTCTTCCTGTTTACGTGCTTGCCTTAATGTCTCAGCTTCTTCAAAATCTTGTGTTAGGAAACTAAAATAGTCAGCTCCTAAAAGCCCGTATTTTTGAGCTACTAAATTCATTTCGTGTGCTTGTGATGGTTCAATTTGAGAAACATCAACACAAATATCTGGACAAGCAAAATGGAATATGTAGACCAATAAATATGCATAAGACTTCAAATCATTCATCTACAGAATATGAACAATACCTAAATCAATGTCACTATCTTCATCGTCTCCTTTTTCTTCAGAACCAACAGTATCTAATGACTTTACTGTTTCTGGTATAGGTTCTTCAGTTTCATAATTGTATCCAATAGCTACATTGTTGCTGGATTTTTTCTTATCTCGCGCAGCATCCAATTTTGTCGACGAACCAAACTGCTCTTCCAGATGTATTTGGTGCAGAAATTTTTCTTCCGTTACTATATTGTACGATATTATTTACTAATCAGTTCCAAAAATAAAATATAAAAAGCATTAAAATAAAAACAATGCCCCACCTCCTAAAAATTCATTTTGTACGATTATACGATAGCGTTCATAATTGATATGTCTATCTTCACTAGTAAGAGCGATATCTACATCAATAGAATCTGGTGCTTCTGGTATCCAATCAAGGTGAGCACGTACATCAAAACGGTCAATAAGATTGTCTTCGTTTCCTTGCCATGGCATCCTATTTATACAATATAGGTATTGTTCTTTCATATACAATATTTATATATTTCAATATTCATATACAATATTTATATATTTCAATATTCATATACAATATTTATATATTTCAATATTCATATACAATTTTTACATAAATATTGACACGAGTCATACCAATAGGGGACAAAATTAAAAGTAATAATCTATTTCAATCATTTGAGGCAATTTCCATGTACATACTTGTATTATTATTTTAAGTTTACCCATACTTAATGAAGTTACTTTATTCAATTAAAAATTAATGTGGAACAGTGAGTGGGACGAATGTGAAATTGTTAAATAAACATTTGTATATAATTTTTACAAATATAATAAAGGAAACAGCACTGAAAGTTTTTTATGGAAAAACAAATTTTTCTGTTTATATGTGTACAGACATGTTGCTATAAAGAAATGTTATTTTAAATTATAAAATTTATATTTTTTATTTTCAGTACTTTTTTATTGATGCTTTAGTTTAAATTGTATTTTAATTTACTTATGCATAAAATAAATATGAAATGTTAATATTTACAGTACATTAAATACATTTCAACTTACATATTTGCTGGACTATCGCCTGCTGTTGCTATTGCTGGATCCAGATGTATTTTGCAAGGCCTTCCATGTAGTTGTAGAAATTGCGTGGGATCTGATTTCTACAAAAAAAAATATATGTATATACATTAGAAAAGTAGCATGTTTTCATATGTCTTAGCACAAGAAACATGCTACTCTTCGTAACACAAGTTAATATGGACTTTGATCTAAATCATGTGTACATGCAAACCTTGTACTTTTTCAATGTAAAAATTTTAAAGAATAACGAACTATCTTACAGGTATATTGTTACATTTACATGTAATTCTATATTCTATGACTAAACTATGAATGTTCATGTAAATTCAAATTTTTATGGACTAACTTATGGTAATGAGAGTTAAATAGAAATTTATATTTTCAATCGATGGTTTACTAGGTGAAGAAGAAAATCAAGTTTATGTTAAACATGATTAAAGTAGTCATGTTACTCTTTTTACACTGAGTATGTTATAAATATATAGCAACCTTGGTCTTTTTCCAATATTTTATTAAGCATACTGATTAAGAATACACTCTGCTTCATGAAATTTAATATTCATATTAAGAAAACAGAAAGCTTGTGCAATTTCAATAATATTCATACTTGTACTTCTAAATCCTTGCCATACAAAATAAAGAAGGCAGGAGGATATGTCGAATTTAAACTACGTTACCAATTTATTACAAATGTAGTTGATTATTTATATGGTAAACCTAATATTTATAGTACTTCCAACATCTACTAATTATACGACTAAGTAAAATAAATGAAGATCAAGATTTCAAAAGATTGAGGTTAATAAACCAAAGAAACCGTGAAAATGAGTTTGGTGGCAGGTAATGCTGTCTTCCAAAAACGAAATAAAAAGTGACCTATGATCGTCGTTTAATATTATATCTTACGATTTTTTCATAATAATCCCGTCGACGTTCAGCTCGGCGACGATAGTCCACCAGCATCCCACGAATTTTCTTTTCCTGTTTTCGCGCTTCATGCCACATTCTACCACCTGTTTTTTTCACGGAAAAGCTCATTTTACATGACAAACAACCAACGAATTACCACCTCAGCAAGGAACTTTCGTGTAGTTTACGGTTCTACACGGAAAATCCAAGAAATTATTAATCAACAGACTTCTCTCCCGCGAGGTAGACATATTGCATTTTACCACAAGCGCCTAAGTATCCCTATCCGAAAAATACGATCCTCGGCCGCCGAACTCACGGCGCAAACTAGCGGCCAGCGGCGAGGCTTGCGAACGCTGATTGGTGCTGCCACACATTCAGGTGTTCCGTGGATCAGGATAATTAAAACTGAAAATATACGCGCGGTAACTACTGAACACAAAAAGTAGATGTATTTGCACAAATTCGAATTTCTCAAAAGGATCCAATTTTGGGAAAGACGAAAGAGGATAAAATCTATATACCTTTTTATTCTATGTAATTATACGAAAACGTGAATGATGCAAAGTCGTATGATTATGCAAAAATTAACTAAACATTTTTCGAAATATATTGGAGCAAGAAGCTTAAAGTTTTCATCGTGTAATTTTAATATGTTTACGCTTGAAGTGGACTACAATGAAGCTCGTAGTAATTACTTCAATTCCAGCTAAAAATTCCAGTTTTGCTGTATCGTATCCTTTAGAACAGTGTTATCCACAGGTGGGACCTCTGATGCGCTTGTATACCCCTCTCCCCGTCGTATGCTATTTGCTAACAATAAATAATATTTATACATAATAAATTTGCTATAACAAATAAATAATAAGTACATAATAAATAAACAAATAATAGATAAAAAATAATAAAGAGTAGGGGAACCAAGAGTGTTGAACTGCGGGAAGAACTGTAAGCTTCGGAGCTAAGTTGAACAAAGCTGGTCGAGAGATCACAGAAAACGTGTCCGTCTCTAATACATGTCGTCATTTTCCGATCTAAAATCAAACTTGTTTGCGAGATCATTCGGGAGACGTTTATTCAAATACAAAATGAGGTAACAGATCATTTCGATTCCGAATCAAGCGACACCGAAATAATTGACAAGAAAATCGTTTGCTCAATCGAGTGAAATATAACGTGTAACCATTTTAAAACAATTGCCAACCACGAAGAAAGAGTCCATATTCGTGGCTCGGGCTGAGGTAATACAACAACGGTGGTGATTTTTCGGCAACTCCGCCATAATATGGGACAGACAAAATAATAATCTAAACGCATATAGAATTTGAATTCAAAATTACATTTTATTATTATCTTAATATGGACTAGTATAATATTACCATGTACACATTCAGTAGCTCACTTATAATTTATAATTTATAATACACTCACAAACATTGATAAAGGACAGTCACGATATCTTGTAGCATGTCTCATGACTGATGAAGCTACAGCGCAAGCTCTATTTATGTATAAGGTATATTATATATCACTTATCGACGTTACAAATGGTTGCGTTTAGATTATCTTACCAACGATTTGCTTAAGGTAATGTTGCGTCTATCGTTCGCACTGACTTTGCACGATCAGCGATCGCTAGGAAATTTTCCGTATTTCCCACCTTTCATGTTAACGTCCGGTCGCATTACACAAAACTCCCCTCGGATCAGCAGTATATACCAAAAATCAAGTGATTCAATCAACGTGTATAATGTAACAATTTCCTTGATCAATATTAATCGTACTCAATTGAAAAAAAAAAAAAAAAAAGAATCATTCCTCGGTACTATAGAAATTTCGAGAAAATCTCAAAGTCATTCTAACTACAGTCTGACATTCATAAAAAAAAAAAAAGAGGTGAAACAATCAAATTCAAACTTTACATTCCATGTTCTTCGTGTGAAATTACTTCAGGACTGATCGACGACCTCTGAGATTCATTCGTTAATTTCAATAGAACTTATGTTATCCGGTACAATATAAATATATCCTCCTAAAGAAAATCTCGCTGCGTGTTATAAGGTTTTCACCTACGACCTCGTCGTGCTCGTCAATTCAACTGTTCGACTTTATATAAAAAGCTATACATAATCGTCTCGATTTCGTGGTTCTTATTAAAATTAATTCTCGTGCTTCTCTCTTATTGGTAATCCCTTTGTGTGTCGGCGTGTGTGAGTAATCTCGAGCATTGCCACGTTCTTTATATACTTTTCTCCTTTTTATATTATACGAGCCGTATTAAGTTCACGAACATCATGTGTGTGTGTGCCCTTTCGACGCACAACATACAACTGTACTTATCCATTACACTTCATTACAGCACACGGGAGCACGTCGATTGTTTTCGACACGTTGCATTTCGATTAATCTTACTTTTTTTTTTACAACGATCGGTTCGATGGGAACACGTCCGTACCTCGCCCGCGACAACTGAAGAGTGTGTGTATGTGTGTGTATGTGAAAAGCGTAATAAAAAGGGTGCGCTTCGTCCTTCATTGTTTTGTTTTTTTTTTCGTTTTTAAATATGAATGTTCTATAGTACGTTCAATGTATCAAAGCCCCTTACGTTAATGCTCGGAAGCGAATACACGTTTTAAATACGCGCGTTTTGCGGGTAACACAGTAATTCGCGTCGGGGAGTGGAATCTCTTGCGGCTCCATATACATGTATATATTTATTTTTGTTAATATATAGTGTGTTTTCCTTCGTTCTTTTCTTTTTGTATATCGTACAAGCGATCATAATAAACATCGTTCGTTTCTGAACTTGTAATGTTTTAATTAGTAGTTATACATTTTTTTCCGACGATTTTCTCTCGAAACAGTTTTCTCGGAGTTACACTCTCGCGACGGTTTGCAATAACACGACGTGATGCACACGCGGCGGATATTCCTACCGTGTCAGGATGTGGTTTACCAACTCGGTGTGTGTGTGTGTGTGTGTGTGTGTGTGTGTGTGTGTGCACAGATTACGCGACGAAAATTCGTCCGACAGTACCACATCCTCGCGATCTAATTTTAGAATTTCTTACGTGAACGATTTTCTCTTGACAGAAGAACGGAAACAGGAGGAAAAGCGTGGCCGATTTTCTGTGTCACACGGTGACGTCACACTCACAATAATCACGCAAGGTCAGACCGACAATAACGTTGCTCGCGAATTGTTTATATTTATTTAAAGTGTGGCTAGACACGTTCAGTCAGGGTGGCTCGTGAATGGCTGAGTATTTCACTTTTCTTTTCTTTTTTTTTTTTTCTTTAAATTCTCGTCATCCGTCATTTATATTTATATCTTGTATTTATAATTTATACTCGTATTTATATTTATATTTATGTTCATATTTATATTTGCATTTATATTTATATTTATATTCTGTACCTATAGCGCCCGCCGTACATAAATACGTATTTATGCGCTCTCGCCTTCCCCCACTTATACGTACACAGATTACGTGTATGCCGTGTGTGATCGTCTTACTCTTAGCGTAATGACTAGATAAATTTCGGCCACCCAATATATAAACAATATTGTTTGATCCCATATAATTTATCCGTACCATTCTATTCGATCGCCAAATGTATATATGGATAAAAATTTCCATGCCAAAATTCATTTTCATTACTATTCGTTATACATACATATGATTTACCTCTATATTCTATAGACGCCATTTTGTTTCTTCAACCGTTTCGAACGCGTCACCGACGACCCGAGAAGCATTCGTTCCTCTCTCGGTCCTTCGTAAACAGTTTCTTTGCTTTAACCAGCACACGCGTGTACAAGCTTTTTAATATGCACATATACAGGGTGTGCAAAATAATTTCCGTCGAACTTTAAGGGCCGAAAGACTGAACCTGTATACAAGTCTGGAAAGGCGTTGCTGACCTTATGTGCAGTGATTTCGCATAAACATACGCATTCTGTGTAAGGTGAACCAATTGATTATTGGCATAGAATGCTATGTTTGACGATAAAAAACAACGTTAACATATTGATTATTCAAACGAAATTGCTCTTTCGGTTATAAATTACAATGATTTGTGTACCCAAGTATGTTACGCCTTTAGGGTTCACGTCGACGTGTACTACAAGCCCCTGAACCTCGACACAATCTTTTTTGCAGACCCTGTAATGTCAATTCATAACAATCTATCATTAATATATATGTAAATTGCGATTGATGCAGAAAACAGTTCACTATATGAGTAACATTTAAGATTCGGTAACATTTCCACGTCTCCGAATGGAAACACGAGAATACCGCAAAGCATTAAGAGCGATACTTTCATGGTTCCATCGTTGAATGGCGGAGGATTACGCCGCAAAGAAACGTTTAGGATTCTCCCCAATAAATTCGTTTACAATCTATCCACGTAGTGAAGAGAGTCTGGCAGTTGCTCGCTAACTGTGTAACATCGGAAATTTATCTAAACGATTATCTAAACGAGTGCTTGCTAGAAGAAAGCATCCGAAAGGGTTCTTACTTGATTTTCTCGTGGGGAATGAACAACGTGCTTTTTATTTTCCATGATATTATAAGTGCCGTACACCTATTTCGATCTACGTTTCACTATGATATGCGATATGTAACACGCTCTGCCTACGCTTTTATCGATCAAGGATGAACTTTCTGAACTCGTTTAAGGTTTTTCTCTCTAATTATCTTATGAAAGCATTCGTGGAGTTTTTTGTTGGAATAAGGCGATCTAAATTTCATGTATTGGCGCCAAAAAGGAAGTATGGTTGCGTTTCCGTGGATATGGATATTCATTTAATATTAAGTTTGTTTATTATATAATAAGAATAAAGTGTGATAAAGAATCACCAAAAATAAGTTAAAAGCTTTGTTTCTTCATGACCTGATGCCAACAAAGGTTATGGGCCCAGAGAGCACGTGTCGGGAGAACAAAGAGTTAGTGATAAAAGTGAAGACGTTAAAGTAAAAATAAAGAATAACGGTAGCCGAAGAATAAAACTAAAAGAAGTAAAAGGATTATAAAAATGTGTGCTGCAATGAGCAATCAAAATATTAGCGATAGCATCGAGAAATTAAAGGACGCGGATGGATACCCATTATGGAAGTTTCAAGTAGAAATTTACCTCGATGCGTCGGATCATCTATCTATAGTGGTACAAGAACCGACAGAAGCAGAAATGTCGAAACCAGAGTGGAAAGGTAAAGATGCAAAGGCAAAAAGGATTATGGTGAGTACTCTAGAAAAAGAATCTTTAATACACATAGTAACATGTAAAAATGCGCATGATATGTGGCAGAGGCTGAAAAGCATTTATGAAAGAGACTCACTACAGCAAAAATACACTCTGATGCAAGAATTTTTCGAATATAAAAAGAAAGATGAGACTGATATAGCCACATTTATATCAGACTTAAAGGTCTAGGTGAGGAGATCAATGAGATGATGATAATATCAAAAGTTTTAACAGCGCTACCAGAGAGCTATCGTTATTTCATAAGTGCATGGGAGTCGTCACCAGCAGCTGAAAGAACGTTGACAAATCTGAGGGCAAGGCTCCTAGTCGAAGAAGGTAGAAAATGTCATAATGGACAAACAAAAGGTCATAAATCTTCCAGTTGAGAGAGTAAAAGAGACTGGGAAAGACCCAGTGAGACCCACTCCAAAAGAACCAAAACAGGCATATCGTCCTAATACACTTGGTATGGGTGATGAAGAGACAAAAAGGAAAGGGAAGAAAATCGGGAAGTCAGCATTCGGAAAGAAAATGGCGCAACCAACTAGAGAGAACGATCTGAAACAGTTCTTAATAGAGAGCATATCCCTGAGCAGAATAGATCCCATGGGAACTAAGACTGATCTAAAGATCAATAGATCAGCCTATAGTAGAAGAATCATGCAGGAGCCCATACTTTCATCATGACTCCGTTGCAGTAGTGAGTTTAGAAAAAAAAAAAAAAAAAATGAAAAAGGAAGAAAGTCCTAAAGTAGCTTTCTTAATGCATGCAGCCACTGAAGGGGTTGGATGGATAGTGGACTCCGGTGCAACGATATATATGACAAACGACGTGCAGCTTTTGAGGAATAAGAGACCAGTGAACAAAGAAATCAAAGTGGCAAGTCAAAAGGGTGCCATGATAGCTGAGCAGATAGGAAAAGTTGAAATGAAGCATTGTGAACTAGAAAACGTGCTGTACATACCTGAATTGAGAGGAAATTTAATGTCAGTAAGTGCAATAGACAAGCAAGGAGGAAAAGTAGAATTCTATAATGGTCAAGTAAAAATATGTAAGAACGAACGCGTTATCTTTAGAGGAAAGAGAAATGATGGAGGACTGTATGCTGTAAAGGAGATAACCGATGAAGGTAGTGTATTAATGACTACAAAACATAATTCTGTTAGATTGTGGCATTACAGGTTAGGACATCTAAGTCCAAGAAATATGATGAAACTTTTAAACATATCTGAAGGAATCAAGTTAACAAAAGAGGAAATATTTCAAGAATTACAAAGTTGTAATCGATGTTTAAAAGCTAATTTAAAAAGGCTACCATTTGACAATCAAAGAAGTAGGGCTAGTCAACCATTGGAGATAATACATACGGATATATGTGGCCCTATATTTTTATTATAGATTATACAAATTTTGTGACTGTGTATCTGATGGAATCAAAAGAAGAAGTCTTAGCAAAAATGAAAGAATTTATAGAAATGGCTGAAGTAAAATGGGAAAAGAAAACCAAAGAAATCCGATGTGATAACGGGACAGAATATACAAATAATAAGTTAAAAGCGTGGTGCAAGGAAAGAGGAATACAATTGAACTACACACCACCCTATACGCCGCAATTAAACGGCAAAGCCGAGAGAATGAATAGAACGTTGGTTGAAAAGGTGAGAGCAATGATAAGCCAGGATGAAAAGAAGTTGTGGGGAGAGGCAGTAAAAGTAGCCGCTTATCTGCATAACAGAAGTCCCACGAAAACAAATACGAAGACTGCCTATGTAATCCTTGAATCACCTACGTACGCGTACAAATCATCATTTTTAATTTTTTCAATGAATACTTTGAAATACTTTCTAACAAAAAGGTTGCAACGGGTAAACAATAAATCCCTCTGAAAATTGCATTAAATAAAAGGATGAAGAGAACAAAGCGGAATTGTTTTAACAAAGAAAGAAAAAATTTTCTTTAAACAAAAAATAACCAAGATAAAAATATAATTACACATAGTAACAATTGACGAAAGAAAATGACACAAATAAAAATCCTTTGTTTGAAGTACCAGTGTCCAACTGTAAACGGTCATCCTCTATACTGAACTGCCGTACCATTTCAAGACACACGGTCAGATATTACATCCTACGAAAACGTTCATGCTCACGAAAAGGACAACTGCGATTAATTAGAAAGCTGAAATGCACGACGAAGAGAATTACAAGTGGTGTACGCGCTACCGTACACGGTCAGGAATATCAGGTGGTCCGACGCAATCGTCGCCTTTAAGGTCTCGCTTAATGTACTTTGGCATTGAAATTTTATCGAACTCCTGTGTTGAATATCTGTTAGATCGTAAACCCCTCGACGGTTGAAGCAAAAAGTGACAAACATCCAGCACAAAACAGATGGGAACTTAACAGAGTTAATACAATCCTCGGTATTTACATAGAAGAGAACTCCTCTCCGCGCTAAACACATTCGCTTGTCACTGTCGAATCAATTTCACGGATCTCTCATTCGCAATATTACGCAAAAAGGACGAGATCGGTTAACACACCTTTTCCCGCCTCTTTTTCTCTCTCACCGTTCAAATTTGATTACGTATTCCGACACGCTGGAGAGTAATTTCTAAATATAGTCGAGTGTAAGAACATATTTCGTCGAGCGACAATCGTAGAACGTTTGTATAATTATTTTAATTGAGATTGCTCTCGCTTGGTTTCACAGTTTAACGACGAAAAAACAACGTAGCAATATTGCACCGCAAATTTTCGCGTCTTACAACCGACGATTCCCCCTACGAACATCATCGTTCGATCAGTAATAAAAATAAGTGCGTTCGATTCCACGCAGTATGTTACATACAGGTGTTGCTTTGTAGATCATAGAATTACTCCGATAGTTATCCATAGAGCGTTTGGTATAAGTCACGAGTAAAAGGGTAGCCTCTAACATGGTAGTCGGAACGAGCCGGAATCGTTTAAACGCACGTCAACAGTTCTGTTTCGCGTGACGAACGTCGAATCAGAATTTTCAGGATTTTTCACAGTTAGATTATAATTTTAGTCTTTTTAGTGCGCGTTTTCAGAACTACGGTGGGGACCCGTTTAATGATTACAATTTTGGACTAATGAGGAGCATTTGGGGAATCCTTGGTTAGTGTTTTCTTCCAGGGAAAGTGACGAGACAGTTGAAATTGACTAGGAATTGAATAGGATTCTAAAGTAAGCAGCAAATGTTGAAAATTTTTATGGATAGTTCTTAAACTCTATGACATGAAACACATCCCCCATTATTTTCAACATTAGTGTGAGATGAGTTGAAAGAATCATCATGCTCGAATTAATTTCCATGAAACAGTTGTGATAGCTCACAATCATTTAACGGGTCCCACCTAACATTAAAGTCAAAATTGTACGAAGAAACGTTATGTGAATGGATGAACCAATGAAAACACTTTTTATGATCACATGACTGTGGCCAATGAATGTTGTTTGTAAACTTGTCTTAATTGGCGGTAACTCGGTTCGATCCAAGTTTATCGTTAACATCCGTGGAAAGCGATGTTCTGTCGATAGAGGTTGTCGTACAAAAAAAATCACTGTAAAAAATGCTTCGATAAAAACGAAATATCACGGAGAGTACTCTTCCGTATAACTACCGTGATGCTTATCAACGAGACGACGCGTTGAAAACGTTTAACTAATCGATAAATGGGTCTTAATTTCAGTAAAAAAAATTAAGATAAAAAAGATTAAACAAACGATGTAAGTTCTTTCACGCGGAGCCGACAACGAAATGTACGAAGGCCCTTGTAGAAACATCCTACGTTTCGTTAACTACGTAATGTACAGAGAGTTCCAGCCCTGCTCTAACGTTGGTAAAGAGCTTTGTGCTATGTATAATCGTGTGCATTGCATACTTTGCTTCTCTTACCGGGTACAGAATGCGATTCTCAATGCTGATATTTCACCTAAACGGACGATCTCCATTCTGAATAAATAAAATTTAATCCTACAATCTACGCCATTGATCTCTGATCTTCCTCGTGTGTTTGCCTTCAGTTTCTATTCATCATTTTAACCTTAAAACAAGACAGAATTGTAAGTATTATATTGTGTTACTTTATGTCGGTAAATACTTTAATGAGTCTATGATCCTTATGATTCAATGATCTTTTACTTGGAAAAATAAAGTTGTTATTTCATGTCATACAGAGTGCTATTGAAAAAGATGGATCTGCAAGGTTCATTTTAGATAAGACATGTGGTCTTCTTAATATATTCATACGTTTTCCATCTCTGCAATGGCAAACTAAAAGTAATAAGTAGAAAATGTGTGAATATGTGTTAAATATCAGTTGCGATATATTTAGTCGTTCATCTATAATGGAATTAACTGTGGACCTCCAAAGAGGTGTTTTTTTTCGACTTTTCATAGAATCGAGACATTTTTTGTTTTACTAAAAATCATGAATTCTTATTCTCATGCTTTCATTCATCTTATTTTGACATAACATTTTTAAGTCTGCATTGGTGGACCCTGAAGATAATCATCATTTTTGTAGACACTCCATACAGAACATCGTATAGAAAAATTAATAATGATAATATCGAGAACGTTATTCTTTTAGTTTGCTGTTCCCTCTACCAAAATGCATGAATAGAAGAACACGTGAGAAAAGTTCATTGAAGACTTACCACGCGCGTCACAGAAATCACGGTGAAGACGATCAGTGCTTGTAAATTATTCCGTTATTCGACTAGTTAATTGAAAAACAGACAGCGAGAATCCCATTCATAAATAAAATAATTATGTATATATTACGTATATATATATATATATATATTTTTTTTTTTGCTTTATGTAAATATTCAATATATTAATGTTTGTCGCAACGTGTTTTACGTAAGGTTTTGTTGCTTTTGCTAAGCAGGAGCTGGTGAGAGTATACGAATAGAATTCCATAAGAATCGAAACAGAATGCGATTATCTGCGTCGAATAAATCTGTACAGAGAGTAAAGTAGTGAATAGTTTGGTAGTGGATGGCGAATGTATTGTCTGTTCACTACGCATATCAGCCAGGTAACCAAACGCTTATATATACACTGGAGACTCCTGACCAGTTAACAGCCTAAACATCGACGTGGGCATCGTCTTCATTAGTATCTGGAAGAATACATAAATTACATAACATATTTTTATTGGAAAACTTGCACATTGCGAGATCTATTGATGATATTACATTTCTAAAGTATCAAGCATCACTGTTTTTGATACGTATCTTTCCATATTTCACATACAAGAAGCATATCCCACATGCAATGTGAAATTTGAGTTAACTCAATGACTTGACTAAATGTTGTATTTCCTTATAAGGATTCTTAGATCTAGTTATATTATGTTGTACTGTATTTTTGAGAAAATAATTTTTATTCAAGAGAACAAACCACCAGAATGTAAAATTTTCTCCAAACAACATACTAATCGATACACTTGGTGTCTTTAGGTGGTATGAATTCTTCAAAAACTATAATTACCAATTGTCGATTGGGCAATATTGTCTTTCTAGAAAAGAGCTTCAGAATGTTATGCTTGACGGAAGATTTCATAATTTAATAAACGTTCAAAAGTTCAGGTTGATTTGAAATGAAAATGAATCAAGCAGCATTAAATGAAAAGTGTCAGGTACATTTGAAATTACAAAGAATATGTATGTGTATACCTTGCACTAATATTGGGGAACAAAATTGTACGTACCTCACCGACTGATGTGGCAAGAAGATTGACAATCTTCTCATGCGGTACAGCGACAACACTTTGATTGTTGATCTCAATGATCCTATGACCCACTCGAACACCACCCCGTTCGGCGATCCCACCTCTCAACAGGCTACATATTACTCCGTTTTGTACACTAAATCCTAATTGATACTTGGTGTCGGGTCGTTTGATCTTGACCTCGACCACCGGCGCGCACGGTACAACGGTCAGCTTGACGACCGTCTGGTTTTTCGAATTCTTGATGTAGGTCTGACAAGTGGACAGGGGTAGACCGACCAACGAGACGCCATTGATCGCGATTATCTGATCACCAATGTTCAACTGTCCACAACGAGCAGCAGCACCGGCCGGTGCCAGATTCGCGATCACCACCGTCGGCAGCATGGAACCCCAACCTGACTCGACAATGACCACGCCCAATATCTCTCCCTTCGCCTTTGGTACCACTACCTGCAGACATTTCGTAACAAAGACACTTAGTTTCAATGTGAATAGAAAAAAAAGATATACAGTAAATCATGGATGAGTGTTCAGACGTCATATCCCCCGCTGGACGCTTGACTGGTTCCACAGGGGATCCCCCAGTGGTGGGGATGACACTCAGTGCCGAGAAGCCTTCAAGCACTCATCGATAATTCATTGTACGACAATAGAATACCCTAAAATGATTAGTCCTGGGATTCTTAGGAAGGTTCTAAGATACTATATTCAAAAATGGGAGCAATTTGCTTGATTCTAGCCATCAGACGTGAAGTGCCAGTAGAAGATTATTTCACTGGTGGAAAGAAAGAGTATTGGCAGTTCAGGAGTGCTGTACGCTATGAAACCAAATGGTTAATCAATGAGAAGTGGAAATATTGGAGTTCCGAAGTCTCTATGACTTATGAGTCCACGTAGTCTAACACTAAGAAGGGAGGACAAGGTATTAGGGTGACAGAATATCCTCTTTAGCTGGTAAGTAGAGATAGGTACAAGTGAGTTGAACCTACTGATGAGACGAGAAGAGTCCAGACAGGCCAAGTCTACTATGGATTATAAAACCAAGTGTCCAATCAATGCGAAGTAGGAGTATTGGTGTTGCACAGCCTTCATGACTTAGGGATCCGCATAGCCTAGCGCTGAGAAGACAGGAGAGGATATTGGGGTCTCAGGGTCCTTGGACTGAACTCTTCAGAAAGTTCCTTAAGCAAATCCCTCCTACGATTACCATAAAAAATTGCTTGTTTCAACTGGATTTTAAGATTTTTTCACACAACTCAGTGATTACTATCTATCTAAAGTCCTCAGTTCTGTCTGAACTCTCCGTGGTCCCTGACTTTCTTAATACAAAGAATAGTAATTTCAAAACGTTTCTGTAAAGAGAATAACGATCAAGATGCATTTACCTCTTTCTGCATCTCTTTCTTGGCGAACATCTGCAGTTCATCGCCGAATATCTCTTGGGAATTGAGAACCTCTTGGTAGTCCATCTCTTTCACGAAACTGTGATCCTCGATACCGTTCGCCTTGAGGAATTCCATGTACGCTACTTGAAAAGCCTGCCCGATGCTTTGTGCAATGAATCGGGCCTCCTCGCTCTCGAACACGTGACAAATCATTTTCGGCGTTCGATTGATCTTCGGCGCTTCCTCGACCTCGTGTGGCACGAAACGTCTTCGCGCCATTAACACCACCACGTCCCCGATATCCGCTATGTACGATATCGTTCGTAACGCGTGATCCATCATGATCTCCTTCAGGTCCGTGTTCAAAACCATGATCTTCTCGGTCGAGATGAAGAGGTCAACCTCTGTGCTCGGCTGCGTTTCGCCGTCCGGTGCCTGCATGTTACGTTATTATATCCAATTTATTGTCATGTGTTCTGGCAGTCGCGACACGACTTCGAGATAAATAATTTATGAACCGTTTCAGTCCTATTTTCGTATACCATTAGGTGTATCAATAAGTAATCTACTGTTTCTTCTTCATAAATTGATAATAATAGTTGGTATTTCTGTTCTCTACTTCTTTCAAAATGGCGACGAGTATTGGAGAACGAGGACATATTTCGCTGAAGGAATTAACCCTTGGAAGACGAACAGTTTTGATGACGTGGGTCAGTTTGGACCCACGTACATAATTCCTTCTAAATGTATTTTTGAACAAACTTCTTTGCGAATTGGCTTTCTTTTTAATTGAATTAATATGAATAATTATTAGCTTAAATTAGTTATTGGAAACTGTTGAGTTGGATGAAGTTCTTGAAAAACTGGGCTCAAACTGACCTGGTCATCGTTGTCCGAGGGTTAAATATGGAATTTGACAAAATCTTCACTTATTGGTACACCTAGTGTAATATAACAAATATACTCTAACGAATCCTTTGGGCACACGTGTTTATTGTTCTTAAAAAATTATTCCTTTGTCTCTATTCAAAAAAATCTATTCTTGTTACGTTCGTATTCCGACCGTTCGGACTTGTAATTTATGCTTATACGTCACAAACACAACGATAACGTGGAAGTATACGTACCAGTGCCTATCATGAGGAGAAGCAGCATGTACAATAAAACGGAAAAATCATTTGATTAATTAAGGTGAAAAATGGTCTACAGAGTACAGAACAGAAATAACTGTAAGAAAGAATGTGTAACACGTTGAAAATTTGCAATTAACAATGAATTATTTGGTAAGACAGAAACACGTTCGTTTGAACTTATATCGATAGATATCAAATCGTAGGTACTGCGTCAGCATTGCGAAGGAATAGAAGAGCAAAAACGAAAATTCGTCAGTAAACCTGAGAGTCTTTTAAGAGAATCTATCGAGTAACAGTACGGAAAATCACGCTTCATGTTTTTCAATCAATACGTTTCAACTGCACCCATTTTCCACTGGCAACGAGTAAAAATCATTGTGTCATGTTTAAATCCAATTATTTCAGTTTCTCTGTATGAAATTGATACGTTCGCGTCTCTACGCGCATGGTTGGTCCCTGTGAGACTATAAAAGAGGGAATACTGTACTCGTATCGGACAACGAAAGGCTGAATTTAACGGTGCGATAAGAAACATAAGCTTTGGCTCAGAAAAACTGCATGCATAGACGTAAATGCAAAGTATTATTAATATGGAAAACTCAATGCAACTGTTCAAGTTTCAAGTCGTTCGTTTCACTGGGGAACAAAAAAAAAATTGTTTTCATGTTGTTAGGGATTTAAGATTGGTTTCAGTGTAGGTACTCGAGGATCCTGATTTCAGAATAAATCTTCGTTTTAGCTAAATTGATTGCGATTTTCAAAGTATTCAAAACTGTTGAAATTAAACGTTTGTGTCGATTTGAAGTACCTACTATATTTGCTTTTTTGTTACCTATGCTTTTCTCAAAACCCTCTTATTTGTTTACTTTTGGGTTAGTGATCTCCAAAGTAAAAAATAAAATAAGTGATTTTATTTTGTTTCAAAGGCGAATTTTATGTAAATGATCGTGTATTTTTTTGTAATTTGTTTCATAACTTTCTTTGTAATTTTATAAATAAAATTAATTTAGAATCATAGAACTTCCTATGTTTCATTTTTTCCCCTTATTGTACGTAAATATTTAAGACATAATCATATCTTAAAAACTAGAGCCAATCAAGAAAAAATAATGGCACATTCAGGATCAGGAGCATTAAATTACTCAAAATCAACTCTTAAATCCCTGGCCACAGATTGACTGTTCCCCAGGGTTATCTATATAGTTGTTACGTGTTTAATTATTTTGATCCTCTGTGTAAATAATGCGTCAAAAATATTTTTGTGAAAAATAGAAACGAAAATCTGTGAGTAAGCACAAGGTGCAACTCCATCATGCTACAGTGACTCACACATTTATTCACATGCTTTCAAAATAACAATTAAATGTACAAATTTCCATACAATTTTTATTTAACTATTCTCATTACGTTTAGTTTTCATCAATCATTTGTGACGATTTTTTCTTAATTTTTAAACGAAATTCGTAGTTTGGTAAGTAGTGCAATTAAATAAATGGGACTGCCTTCTGTGAATAGATTTGTGAGTCACTGTATATCAACCGCTTTAATTACGACGAAGTAGGTATCTCCTTACTCGATGTATAGTCCCTGGACAAGATATAAAACTAAACAGGAAAAATATATTTCCCAATGGGGCTAACTAGGACTGTACTGCAGTGAAAATGTTTCCTCGGACTTTAAAGTAGTTTCTATACATATATTCTCAAATTTCTATAAAAAGGATCGTTTCGACGTGTAAAGAAAATCCTTATGGTAATCGCTAAAATGTGATAAGTTACCTATATTCTTGCCCAGGGACTATAATTCTGATGCTCGCTGATAGGATCGTTACGTCTGACCTCGTATTATTCGAGTCTGATAATATGAGAATCGTTCTTTCCTTGATCACTGGCACGGAAGCGATCCTAAACGACCCAATCATACGACTATCAACGACTATAATCACATTATCAGATCCAAGCAGCGTGCTTATAGGAAGGGAGCACTGTATTTCCTGTATACTGTGTCGAGGGTATAGTATGGAGAGGAACAAAGTCGTGTTAAAGTTCTCGGTGTAAGTGTGAACTAATCCTACATTCAACTAGTAGCTAATTACGACTATGTCTATCTAGCTATAACGCATTCCATTAAAGTTTTCCGTAAAAACACGAAATAACTCGGAACTGACATCTCTACGTGTACGAATGCTTCTGTAATTCACTGATTCAATACAAAATCATCTATTCAACATCATCCGTGTCGCAGCAATTTTATATAATTTGTCATCCAACGTGGGTCACTGTTATATCTTTTTTTGGAGTCAAAATTTCAAACGATCTGAACCGAAAATCACGCACAGGGAACACGTGAACACGCGTTCACGCCGCCATGAACCATCAAGTATTCTCACGTTTGTGCTAGTCAGACTATTACTATTGATCACAAATTACTGTATTAAATAAAAATTCCATATGTAACCACATGTATGGGGGGGAGGGACAAAATTTATCTTAAGGTAAATTTTGTATTACTATAAATGGATTTTAGATTTATTTTTACGTACAAGATATTAGTTAATATAATATACTAATTTTCTCCTGGGGGGGGGGGGATTCAATTTTGTCCCCTCTAAGGCCATCCCCCCTGCCTACACCCATGACTATCACCCAAAAAGGCGCCAAATTTTCCAAAGGAACTATTTTTCTGTACAATAAGGCCCACAATGCAAGCAAAATCAATGTTCATTTGTTACCAATCTCAAAATGTGACAATGTAAAATGAAAACGAAACAAACCCTTCTTTAATGGAAGGGCAAATACTTATGACCAATATAGTCTAGGAATTTATGAGTCGGCGTGAACGTGTAAAGTAATAAGACCAGTCAACCTAGAACATCAATTTGACCACGAATTTCGAGGGTACAGAGAAGTTTTCGGTAACATCATCGAATTTCACTCGTTGTCAGTGAAAAGAAGTGGGGATGCGATGCAGAATACAAGAACCAAGAGAGACAATAGAGACAAATAGAGAGAGACAGAGAGAGAGAGAGCGAGATAAAAATAAAAGCCGATCGAATTTAGATAGGATAGTTTGAAAAAGATAACAACAATTATATAGTAGTAGTATAATGATACATCTAAAGGGTTGGAGGGCGGACCTTTATCTTAGTCACAGCCTCCCGCACTATGTGGTTGTTAAGGCGCTTACGTCTCCCTTCCTCTTCAACTTCAACCGAGCCGAGAAAATGGAGCCTGAAAACGGTGGTGGGCTTCATAGAGCCACTGATCGGGGCCAGTTTCGGTTGAAGTCCCGCGGTCTGCGACTCGGACTGGCCCCCACCAGACGCGTTCCCTATCAGTTCTTCGCTCGAGTCGCATTCATCTTCGTCTAGGCTTCCTTGCGAGGCAACGCTGCACCGACCAAACCCATGCTGCCCCCCATAGTTTAACTGCGTAGCAGCCTGCGTACCCGTAGCCACTGGCCCCTCCTTTCGTAACGTATAAACAGACAAATGCGCTTTGCTATAGTCACGGGGCCAAAAGATTTCCCGTGGGGGCCGGTCAAGGTCACCTATTCTCGATCCAGAATCCACACACACGCTCAATCCACGTGCCCCCTCACACACCCCCTAAACTTTTACGCTTCTGTCGGGTGTACTCTACTGGTCGACAATGTGAAATTTGGTGTCACGATCCCCAGTGAAAGATTGAATTTTCAAGGAATTATTGAAAGTTTGAATTTTCAAAGAATTGTTGGAAAATTAACGATCCCAAGTGAAGATGAACTTTGACGCCCAGTGTGACATACAGTGTATATGTCACATCTAGAATTGTCGTGAAGATACAGACGAGATGCACGTATTGGAACGATTTTTGAATTAAATAATAACGAGAAATAAATTCTTCCCTGGAAGAGGTGTTTTGACGTTAAAAGATTACAAATAAATTTTTAAAAAATTCGTAAAAGCGGTTGATTTAATATCGATTTAAGGGTCTGGACGTTAAAGGGTTATGAAATTTTGTGACATCTCTACTGGAAGCAGTTGTGGATTCCCATAGCAAGGTAGACGAGAAATTATGTCGGACTAGGAGAGTCTATTGGTGATTCTGATATCGACCAATCCCTAGAAAGCTTTTGTCTATGTTCCTTATTGCTGTTCGTCTAGCTGGTGGACAAGATATACAGCGAACTCGCAAAGTTACCCCCCCTTTTGTGGGCTGAGACCCAACCAGGTCGAACGTTCGACTTAGGCAGTGGCCAGGCCTGTAAATGGCATTCCACTTATAACATGGCTCAATGAATAAAGAACAATGTATTGCAGACGATTAGTCTAACGGAGTCTACGGTACAATTTGGCATCCACACATTGCCACAGTGAAAAAGGCCGTACGTAGCCAGACACACTTTATTTTGTATTTCAAGTCATAAATCGCCGAAGATATATTCGTTTACATAGTTAATAGAGGGTGTTTGTCTTATTTTAAATTATACTACTGATACTAATTTTACCAAAATTTAAATAATTCCCGGCCCTCTTTGCAATATACGTGTCATCCATATTTGGGTAACGTGGCAGTAAAACTGTTAAAGTGGATACATTTTCTGCAAACCTAACGGATCTTCGAGATCTACCCTTTTCAAATTTCTGTGAAAAGGGGTTGTTCCGAGGTATTTTATAAGCGGTAGGGGCGGCAGCTATCTCTGTTTGTGTCATGTGAATTAACAGAAGAAGAATCACTCATAATCCAGGTAGCAAAGTAGCTAAATAGCCTAGTCTTGAAAGATCTGGGTTCGATTTCTGTTTCTCCTACAGTATATGAAAAAGATCTTTGTGATCACCTAAAAGAAAACTTCACCAGTTCACTATATCTTGTCCAACAACTATAACAGTACCCAATCGCCAGCCAGTTTTCCCAAAACATTGAATCCCGTTTCCTCAACAGTATATTTCCGTAAAAGATTAAAATTTACTGATGCCTTTTAGGGCATACATGGCCACTATCCTGCACGATTTTATTAAAATCCACGTGGAACCAGTCTCGATTCTCCCCTAGCAACCAACAAATAGGACGAGACAAAATGGCGGGGAGGGGGCAGTCAAACAAGTGTGATGGAGGACAGTCGTTCTGGTGGCCTTGATCGGCGGAAATCTTTTGCTCCGACTATAGTCACATTACCACGCACCACCCGACACCACGAACGCGAGACTCTAGCGTTCTCCACGGTGTTCTTTTATCATCGACACACATTATACATTATTCTTTCCTCTATCGAACGATACACAGCACTGTCGTGCAGTACTACCTTCATTCAAAGTGAAACGTATCAATTACGAGATCGAACAGATAATTATCTCACGTACTAATCTGTAATTAGCTACCGAACGGATACACTCACACACGATCGGTATTATGGTTTTTCACCGTCTGATCAGTGTATTAGAGACAGCCGTGACCTTACATGCTAATATCACTTGGATAGATAATTCCGATTTCGTGGGGATCTCGTTTGAGGTTCGTGAGAAGCGTCGATAGGTCAACAAACTATACAGAACCATCGAGTCGTAAAGGCTTCCATGGACGATACGATTTGTCGTACAACTCATCGTACAATTTAGTTCTTCAGTCAAGAAGTTGAGACTTAATTAATCTTCGATCGTCTAAACGACAATTCCTACGTTTGGGGGCGCGGTCGTACAACTTCTGGACAATACCGTAGGATAAAAATCTGTCTTTCTAATCGTCTGTCCAACTTCCTGTGCAACTTGTGATACGACAAATCGTATCATCTATGGAGCCTTTAGCAGAAGCTGATACTGGCGTCATGCTTTCTCGCGAGGTATCGTTTCATACACAGTGTACTTAGATCCCACATTCGTCAAACGTTCGAGGACGGTATGCAGAGTTGCACGGACCAGTGTGGACAGTTTTAGGGGACACTGAACATCCAACATTGCAGTGTTTGGCTTCACAAGAGAGGAGTTTCTCTAAGTCTAAATACAGGACTATGATACAGCTAGGAATCTTCTTTCGAGAATCTTTAATCATCTCTTGCAATATGATCACACGTTTCGGAATATGGTGAATACGTATGTATTTCGTTCACTTTACGGCATTCCACGACTGTGATAAATATAACCTGAATTCGATTTGAACGTAAACTTTAATGTTCATTTTATCGGTGTCTGTATAGACATGATCGATGATGATGATTTTTATATTTGTTAAAGACTGATAAAATTTGTGTTATCTTTTGTATTATACAGGGTGTAACAGAAGTGTTGTAGGTCCCTGAAATGGGTCGCTCGTAAGGTGATTTGGAACAAGTATTTGCTTAGCAAAAATTTTAACAGAGCCTCGAATAACATTTTTTCTAAGGAAAAATTTGTTCCAAATCACCTCACGAGTGATCTATTTCGGGGACCTCGAACACTTTTGTTACACCCTGTGTATACAATATTTACTTTGGAAATAAATACGTTAAGAACTTGAACTGTCTATGTATTTATACATTTTGTATTTTTACATTTATTCCACTGGTCTTGTAGGAGTTCAGGGGACTTAGCATATTTGGCTCTACTTTAGTATGTTGTGTCTTAAATCTTAGGAAGAAATAGTTGCACAATTTTCTATACACTTCTTAAACTATGTATCACTTTTAAATACAATAACTTTCATATTCCTAAGTTTTTCAGAATATTTATTGTATTATTTTTTATTGAAACTGCATTTCAATCCCAAAGCATGTATTTTGTTATATTACAAGTCGGTCAATGTCGTACAGTGACGACGGAAATGAAATCATTCGTGAAGAAAAATTGAAATTTTAGTTCGGTAACATTGTTATTTACGCTTAAACGAATCCATTAAACATAAATATTTTCGCCCGTTCTATTTCACATATATATGTATATATATATTACACGAATTTTTTTATAATACACGATCGTGCAGTAGAAGATATAGTGCTGCGTACAATCTACGAAGCAAAGAAGGACAGACAACTATACACAAGAGAATAGTCGTAAAGGAGCCGAATAAAAATAGTTTCGATCACATCTGATAAGTACAGATTGTCGATTTTCCCGCAAAATAATATTCAACTTGAATCATCGTTTAATCTGATCTAAATGAATTTTTCCATTTTTACCTGAATCATAATAAATACAATTCGCCACTGAAATTATCTGCTTTCATTAACTGTCACGGATTAAACGTATCGGGAAATCAATTTAAAAATTTCAATACATGCATTTTGAAAGACCGAAAAAAGTAACAAGAAAAATACAGTTTGTGACCTTAGTATTTAAATATTAATAACGTAGTAGTATTGTTGTTAACCAAAAATTTTCCTTTTGACTATGTTTCTTTGATCGTATATGCTGATTGTTCATATGAAAGCCTTCAAAGCAAAAAAAAAATATGTTCGATTTATTTTGCACTATTTTATCCAGCTCCTATTCTCAGATAAACTAACACAGAGAGACATCAAAACCACATAAAGATATGTGTGTTCGGTGGTCAAGTGGTGGTGGTAATAGCACGAGGAAGGGGTGGCTATAGAAAAACATTCAGACTTCTTTACGCAGTGTCATTAATTTCAAGAAGTAATCTAACATTGTCGAAATCAACTGTGAATAGTATTCGAATATTTTTCAATATCTTCTTAAATGAGACTTCCCCAAATATTTCTACATATCGCACAATGCGGCAAGAAAAGTGTCACAAGTTGAGAACCACGTAATTACCCAGAAGAGCGAGAAGAAATTGATTTATTACGTAATATTTAATATTATTTAACAACGTGACGCTAGGTGCCATTTCGTTTGAAGTACTGGACTTCAACTCATGACATTTTTCTAGATGGTGGATCGTCTACGTATTAGAAGATATGTCACTGTATAAAATGAAAATTGAACATTTTTTAACTCGTGACATTTTTTCCGCAGGGGTGTAATATTGTTAAACTTCTCGGTTTCTAAATATCATTAGACATAGCGAGGTACTTGCAACAGAATGACCGAGCAACTTTTAATTTTTTTTTATTGACGAAATGCTTCAAAGTGACACTTATACCGTATTTTAAAACTTAGACAAAAATGTAATGTTTATGCGAAGTTACTTTATGCATTTTCTATATTTTCTGTCGAGTTTTGAGATCTCCTTAGTTCCTGTTATTATCGAAATGCTAGGAAATGGCACCTACACCATATTTTAATATTTCGAAAAATAAATACTGTTTCTTTTAACATATATGGCTCGAAGACACGTTAATACAAAAATCACTGTCATTAACTATTCATGATAATGATGTTTTTCGCGTGAGATCGCAACAAGAAAACAATTCGAATACTGAGCGTCTAAAACTTGCGAGAGGAATTTCATAGTACAGAGGGTGAGTTTCAATTAAATAAAATATTTTGAAAAAAAAAAAGAAAAATTGACTTCTCAAAGGAGAGTCATTGATTAAGGCATGTGCGTAGAGAAAGCACGGTTAAGTGCTAATCATTTAACATTTCTTTCGTGCTGAATAATAGCATTTCTATGAGAAACGATAAATATGAAACCAGCTGACTCTTGCGTTTTATACAGAGTAAATTTGTTAATTTCAATTAATTTATATATTATATTCAGGAAGTGGACCCATGAAAAATATCGATCTCTTCGCGCCAGTTGAAACGTACATCATTTTCTTCGTTTGTGCCTTTCAATTATAAATATTTCATATAAATATAATTATAAATGTTTAAAATTATACGAAGATTCTCCCAATACATAGGTATGCAAATTTTGACTTTCGCTAGTAACTACTTATTGTACTGATTATTTTTTAAATCATTTCGAAAGTTTCTATGCTCCACAAATGAAAGTAATACTTTCGATCGTCATAGGGACTGTGTTGAAACAGTGTTCAATAAATTCTACGAATCACTGATTTATCTCTCTCGTAAAACTGTCTCAGGAAGCATACACACATTTAAATACAAGTTTCAAATACTTCGCAGTACCCCTATATTCTATCGAAAAAAAAAACTCTCAGGTTCGACCGAAGTGGCTGATCAAATAATTTTAACTTCGTAGATTCAATGACCGAATACTTAAGAACTGATTACAATACAATTATCGCATTGCAATTATAAAACGTAGCAGTTCACTATACATGCAGGAGCGTGTTAGAGCACTATAGTATCGCTGCATTAGACTGTAGCCTATGAAATGTCCAAATAGGGATATCCTTTTTGCATAATTAAAGCAAAAGAATGGGAGTCAAATTTGTACACGAACGGCGATTATCAATATCTTCGGAAAAATTGATATTTTTAATGTGACCTCGAAAATTTTACTAGCATCAGAATTTATAATTAAAGGGTGTTATACTTTGAGTAAGTTATAATTAAAGATTGCACGATTTTTTCTGTCGTACGGTGAAAATTTAATACAAAAAATTAGACGTTTCATATGCATCAGCTTAATACGAAAAAGAATTACATACATGTTGTAGATCGACCACAAAAAAAAAAAGGATTACATTCTCCGAGTGTAATCACATAGACATTTTTTATATAAACTTCCGAGTAATGCATTCGAATGGACCCTCATAGCAACTACGTTATACTACACAGACATTGCAATAAGTCCATAAGCAAAGAAATTGTTTGAAAAAATAATACATTAGCCCAGGTGTATTTATGAGACAATATTTAGAACTTGTGAGAGCTTTGTTACATATGTATATCATATTATTTTATATTTGAAACTGTGGTTCTATTGAATAGAAGGTGCAACGTACTTTTCAAATTTTCATATTAAATAATTTTGTTGAATTATCAGAAAAATCATTTTCACGCTAGGAACCACATTCTGTATGGTTGTTTAATATGTGATAGAGAATCCGACCTCACATAAGAAGATTGTTCACTGTATGCTTCTTATTCTTCTTCACAGTACATTTAAATAATTACATATAAATAAAAAAATAATTTTATAATACAAACACGGTTTAATTATACAAAGTGTTCACCTACTGGTTTCGGGCGTTACTGACCCAAAGTTTGATTGCTAATAACTTGAAAACGAAGCCCCGAACACAATTTCGTCATTCTTGATTTTTGCCTTATTTTAATACATAGGATCGACTATTCAAATTTTTGACACCAGCGGTCAAACAGTGTGTATAATAACTGAAAGTGTGCTAGGAAAAACACAGCGAGCATAAAGTGAGATGTTTTCTTGTGAAAGGTCTCGATTTTTTGTCGCTGTTGTACATGTAATATTAATGATTATTTTTGTAATTTATACTATAGTGCTTTTCAACAGTTTGGAGCACCCTTCATTTTCTAAATGAATTATTTTTTCGGTTCTCACAAACATGAGTTATTTGAAAATTTCTCAAAGTGAAGTAGAAACATAATTAACATTTTTTAAAAAATATTTCTATTTTTCAATATGTCAATAAAAATCAGTACGTATTCCTTTTTTCATCTCTACAGCTACAACTTTTTATTGTACATAAGTATGTTTGGAAATAATATTCTCAGAATTTTATTTTCAAGAATATTAGTCAATTTCGTTAATAATTGAAATTATTTGCACAATATGAATATTTAGAAAGAAAGAACTGTAATTATGTGGATACCAAGTGTCAAATAATTTACAACAATATCTGTGCATGTGTATTCAAAGTCAAGACGAAGAAGGATGCTCCGAACTTATGTTGTAACATAGAATGTGGAATGTACATGTTGGCCAACTAGGAATTATTAAAGATTTATGTACCAGCCATCCAACCCATTCTACTTGCTAATAAATTATAGAATCAGCGAAAGAAAACAGTATGGATAGGAGAGCAGAGGATGTTTATCTGCTAACTCAAAACTAAAAATTAGTCATGCATTTACCAAGTAGATTGTGCACAGGTACCAGATATAGTGAGTATCTAAATATGGATAGTATATCTTCACTTTGTAGATGCAACAGTGTAAATGAAACAAGAAACACGTGATAGATGTGTACACAGTGAGGACCATGAGTAGTGTATGTGATTTTGATTGCACGCGCGTAGAGCACAAGTGAGTGCAGAGAACGTTCAATTCGGTATTATGGATGTTCTAACATATTCGATTGTAAGGATAATAGTAAACACATGATCACTTGACTGCAGGATTTTATGCATTTATAGTATGTACAACCGAATGAAAAGTAATGCATTAAATATTTTGGTGAAGTTTCACACAAATTTTGTTTCCTTGTTTACTTAATAGGACCATTCGCTAAAGTAATAATTGTCTATATAATTCTTGTCGTTATGAAATAATTCATAAAACTAAGTGTTTGCATAAATATCTACAGTCTTGTTATCGATGCAAGATCATGTCTATCATATATCAAGTAGGTACTTCATTAAAATGAAGTGTACAGATAATTCCACATCAAATTACACAGCATGAAAACTGTATACTAAAAACTATATTATTTTATAAAAAACTTTACAATTGAATTTGTATGGGTCTGTATCAAAATAATTGATTCGTTATACGGCTTTTTGCTTTACGGGCAACTTTTCCGGAACGTATCTAGGCCGTAAAGCGAGGTATGAGTGTATACACTTTGTTTAAAGTTACGTTTATATTATCTCTCAATTAAAATATTCCAAACACGTATACAAATATTGTTGTATAATGTACATGTACAGTATAGACAGTGATATGCCATCAAAGAAATATTTAATAAACATATAAAAACAATATCAAACAACAAATCATTTTCCCAAGTATTCCAAATTCTCCAAGCACAACCTAAAAAGCTGTGTTTGCGACAAACAAAAACTTCAGTCATCTGTAACTTCTGGTAACATTGAACTGTACAATCTAAAAATTAATTAAACACAGTAGTTTCAAACAACCTAGTACACAGAGACACGTTCATATCCATGAAATGAAAAATATTTATAAAATTGGCCATAATCGGCTCCTAGAAGTAGCTAAACATAATATAAAGTATAATTGTATGAACAAGTGTTTCGAGAAACGTTGCGTGCTGCAAGCTTTCGGTTCTGAGTCTGGATAATTTAATGTGGAATGATCAGAATCGATAAATACGTATAACTATGAGAACGAAGAAGCAGAGAATAAGTGGACGGAGGAGACGTATAAGATATGCAAACATTGAATGGGACGAATATCGAGCGTACCTTTATCCTGGAGACAGCTTCTTCCGCCTGGCACATACGGGTAGATTTTGTAGGTTCTCCCTCGCAAACGAGCTGAGTGGATCCAAGGTATCTGGCCCGGAATAGGACACCCTCGATCAGAACTGAAGGATCGTCGAGGAGAGCTGAAATGGCCACGGAAACACACCGTTTAGTCGTGTCCCGGAACGTTTCGTCGTTCAGGCAGCCGAACGCTGTTAGATAGTCAACTGAAGATCGAAGAAGTCTGATCGAGGACATGGGAACAGCAATAGGCTCACTGTCCAAAAACGTTTCACTTGTTGGCGTAATGACATTTAACACGATGTCCATATCATGTTTATGGAAAAATTTCATGTCATCCTTGCTGAGGGCATCTTGTAACATAATATCTGTATCTCTCATGTTGAGAAATCGATGGTATTGTTTCCTTCGAATAAAAATTAACGGAAACTCTTTCTAATGAATACAAACACTATCCTGATGAATCTCTTTGTTGTTTTAATCTTGTTCTGTTACTCTGAATAGCAGCTGATCCGAGTTTGTTAAACAGGATCATTCGGAGTCCATTGACTCATATTGTGTTTGTTGAATTTTATTTGGTAAGTTTGTTATTGACTTTTTTAAATTCAACGATTTTTTGGTCCGCATCACCTTTACTCTTATCAGTTTATTTTCTATAAGCAGATAATTAATTTACATAACTACAATTGAATTTAACATCACTGTATGAACGTCTACTTCAGAAAATCTGGTATACTATTCTGCTTGAGTTCTTCTTATATCTTTCTGTGTTTCTGGTACTGCTCCTTAAGATTTATAATTAAAGAATTTTACACAATCTTCGATCGAGATGAAGGAGAGAAGATCACTTTAATAGAATTCGATTGAAAGACTAAGTTTTTAAATACTATTGGAAATCGTTTCAAGAACACTGATCAACAGCAATCAACGTACTAAAAAAGAAAAAATAAAGCACGTGGGCATACATCGCGTATCAACGAAAAATTCCAGATATATCTTATCGTCATGCTTACGAATCATTTCGTTTCATTTCAAAATGTTTTTCGAATTTCTGTTTACTTTGTATCTGTGACATATCGACTGAAGTACTCGTTGCAGAGATACAGATTTATGTTCTAACAGTGCTCAGTAACGTTACTATTGATTAATCAATCAAGCACCAGCAACACGATTTATCGTGAGATAACACGATGCATAAATATTTATTGTTGTGATCGTATGATAATATAAACAATTCAACCGCGAATGAGCAATCATAAATGAAAGAGACGTGAAAATGAGATGAAAAATTAACACTCTTTACTAATTAAGGGCACGTAATATTAAATTTGGAAAAATATAATTGATCGAATTAAATAAGAATTAATTAATTTAAAAAAAGGATTAAACATAAAATGTGTCATTTTAATTACACTAAAGAAGAGAGAAAGAATATGGAACTTTTAATAATAGCTTGACTGGTTAAATTTAGTCATGAATTAGTAAAAACACTAATTAAAGCTACTTGGGAGTACCTACCAAACGTATCCAACCGGAATGCAGCAAATAAAAGAAAGAAAATGGATTATTCTAATAGTATAGCTTTACAATACACTAATTTTAGTGTCTAAGTATGTACAAATAAACTAATTTAGTTATTGTTAAAATTAGTATATTGTCTAGTCAATATACTAATTTTTATGGCTTTAAAATGAGTTCACGATTTTTTACTTTTAGACATTTTTTACTTTGTAAATGGAAACCACGTGTCCTCTAAAAACATTTGTAATATAACAAAATTTGCACGACCGGTTCTAATAAATGTATGATATTTATGATTTTGTTTGTACTCATAGAAAAAAAAAATAATGTTAATTACCTTCTTTGTTCCTGCTCTTCTTCTTCTCTTCCTTGTCCTGTGAAGCAAAAAATATTGAATGTACTTCTTGTATAATTACAGGTATATTGAACAATGTCTACGTGCTTTTTGCAAATCACATGCCCCATACGGGCTGTCAAAGCTTCGTTCATGCAGCGAATTTCACATGTCGAGCAAACTCAATTAATATGGTTTGAAATCTAATTTGTTTGTAATTGTAATTAAATTAAACAATTTTTTTATCATTTTACCGCATAAAAAAACGTTAATATGAATTTATACAAACTCACGATATAAAAAATTATATATAAATAAACTGCTTTTTTAATATAACAAAAAAAGGGACATTCGATCAATAAACATGGTTTTAATACTTTGTAAGAAGAAGCAGAATATTTTTAATATTTCTACTTTGTTATATTGCTCCTAAATATTTTTATAACACTTTGCGAATGATCCAGACTATGAAAATCGCTCGCAAGCTATTCTTGAATAAGCGAGTCATCATTGAAGCATCACTGTATGTTTTATACTTTCCTTTGATACAGTAAAACACCTGTTAATTGACTCAATACAACACTTTTTCTAACTTGATAAAAATGTCATGATGTACCAATTTTTTCAATTTCTCATCACATTTAACTAAATTTCATTTGACACTTGAATTGAATGAACGTGTACTAATGTTTTAGATTTATATGTTACAGCCATTGTTAGTTTACTATTAGTTTGCAAAGAGAGAGAGAGAGAGAGAGAGATTTCTGTGAATAGGAAGAAAAGATAGGAAACATGCGTAGAATTCGTATCTGTTGGGACTAAACAAGTAAGACCGTACTAACTCTACTAGAATGCTATCGCAGTCAGTTACTCGTAGAAAATTTTTGCTATCACTTGATATTAGAATATTCCCTTCCTATAAACGCATTTCGTTGGCCTCCTTATAATCACATCGACACCTCCACCATATATCATGGAATATAAAAGGATATCAATAAGCCCACGAGAGAAAGCAAAATAGAAACAACCAATGAAATGTATCTCCTATTCTCTAGAATTCGACTGATTAGTCCAACCAATTGGGGCATAGGGAGGGAATACAGTAATAATAAAATTCCTACAAAGAGTAACTGAAACAACGAAAAAAATGAAGCAATTGCAGTATCATCGGCAGCCACAGCAGCAGAGAAATCATAAGAAGAAGATAGGTTTGAAGTAAATTTAATTGAAAGGGCACCTTTTTCACCTTGTTGCTGGACTCCTTGAGACTCTGAGGGGACGAGGGAGAATTTTTGGCTGGAGTCTTCTGTGGGCTCGTTGTGGTTTGTGTGGGAGTGGTAACATCACGATCGGAGGGTGGCGGTTGAATAATGGAGACTACTGGAGGAGGCGAGATAGAGACAGAAGCGGATGTGGATACACAGGCGGAGGTCGAAGCTAAAGGTTCTGAAGGTGAGAGCGGACTTTCTACCGGAGCGACAATCAGGCTTTTTGGGGGAGTTTGCTTAGGAGTCGACAGTTTGCCACTTATCGGTGGTAACATTGTCCTAGTCTTAGGCTTCCTCCACCCCTATGTAACACCAATTATATTTATGTTATGTTAGTCGGCCGACCATTAAATTACCTTTACTCAAGTCGTGCATCACCCGTCGAACTTAATTTTATACGCGTGTCTCACGGTTCCTTTGGTACCTTAATTCTTTATTTGGCTGATTCATTCTAAATTTCGTTTCTTTGAAGAATGTACAAAGAATTATTGTCCAACGGAAGTAGCAAAGGTCATGGACCTACCTTCAAAATATTTCCCTATTCATTATTACCCCTTTATAAGTCAGCAAATAAAGTATTAAAAGTTAAAAATTTTCCATTTGTTACTGCCCAATATGTTAAGAGAATGTTAATAAAATTGTATAATGTGAGATTCATAAAATTATCATAAATTAAAATAGTCATCGTTGAAATGTATCACTAATTAATAACGATGTATTGAATCCAAAAATTACAGTATTCGTACGCATGCATTAGTGAATATACTATTTATGTATATTATTAAGTAAAACTGTAGCGTAAAAGTTAGGAATAATATCCAAAAGAATATTATTTTAGTAAAAATCAACTTGCTAAATTCTTTAGTTTTACATCGTAAAATTTATATCAACGGTCTCACTTTATACATATAGGAATAAGATTTTAATATTTTGGGTTATTCCATCAGTTAGTTAGATCATGCTTTTAAGAAACCGAATAAGAATATTATTTTCCATGAAATATCGTTAAAGATTATGCATATACTGTTATTCATTCTACTGGAAGTCTTACCTTATCATCATAAAAACCCTGATCATCTGTTCTTTGTTGGCCAAGTAAACGATCGGTCTCGAGATCAGTATCCGCCTCTTCTTCATCCGGACCATCTTCGATTTCAACGTCAGCATCGTCACCCGTACGTCGAACTTCCGAATCTTCGCTATTATTTTCTACGCAAATTCTCCGCCTGTCATCCGATATACTAAATTTTAATTAGATGTACTTAAAAACTAAGAATTATTTTACAAATACAAAGTTAAACACGTAACCAATTCAATCAATAGAAATTTCTGAATAATAATGAAACTACAAATCTATTATCGCCGTTCTGGGCAGATGACATTTTGTCCATTAATATTTATAGTGAAAATATTTAAGAAATTAGGGATCACGAAAAATGTAAGTTTACGAAAGAAGAAAGTAAAATACCTTGGTATCCAAATCGGACTGACATTAGGTTCTATTGGTTCTTCCGTAGACGGCTTCACAGGTAGAGTCTTAGTCCTCTGTAAAGCCATTCTAATATCTTTGATAGCAGCTTCAACTTCGCCACCTATTTCTAAATTGATAGTTTGCCTGGCTTGAGGTGCTGGCGGTGGAGGTGTACCAAGAGGATCCAGACCATCGAGTTGTAACTCATTTGCATCATATGAATTCTCTTTTTTAGGAACAAATAAATCAGGCGACGATGATTTCAACGAATGCAGAATGTCTTTGCTGACAGTTAAACCGGAAAGGTCTTTTCCGACCGAGTCACTGTCTGTTGCAGTAGGGTAGCCAGTATCATTTACACGACTTCTTTGAATGATCTCCTTCTCAATTTCGTTCATCTGCCGTTTCATCAACATCACAGTTGGATTGTTATTATCAGTGTCGCTAGCATGACCGCTGGACAAACCATCTTCCAGAACCGGCATGCTGGTATATATTCTCAAAGAATCTGAATTATTTCCTAAGTCGCCGACCGATCCAAGGAGTCCACTGGCTGGTATCAATTCATTATCCATCATCATCAATGAAACTTCACTATCGAGATCGCCACAGTTACTATCACAATCAGTCATCTCGGGACTTAACGTAAAATTGCGAGAATGTCCGACTTGTAAACCGACTTCTGTTTCGCCGAGATCTTCACTGCTACCAGTGCCGACGGAAAGATCTAAGAAATTATTTTCGTGTTCACCAGTCTGAAAAGAAAAAATAAATAATTCAGTTTAAATAAAAGTACGGCTAAGTAAAAAATATGCTCGTATAATTTTAAATCGCAGAAATATATATTTACGTTTTGTGAAAATTCAGTTCTTTGTTTTTTGGGAGATTCATGTACCAAAACTTCCTCTGTCGGTGGCCCGCTTGCTAAGCGTTGACCAACGTAAGCACTTCCTCCTTGTCTTCGCAGTTCATAATCAAGATCCTTTAGTGAACATAAGTTGTATGTACGATATAACCAATACAGTTTGTTTTACTATTTAAATAACAATCAAAACATAACAGGCAACAGATTCATACCTGAAATGGAAAAGATTCCGTGCTGTTTTCTTTTTCTTTCGACGGTGGTGGACACTTGAAAAATTCCTCGAGGACTTTCCGAGTTTCTGAGAACTCATACAAATAATCAAAAGTGCTACCACCAGACGATACTAAATTGCTTATATTGTCAGTGGGTAAAGTCGACGGTTTTAAAGAGTCTTCGTCTTCATCTTCGATTTTCGGAGACGGAGGAGAGGCGTTCACAGTTTGATCATCAGAATAATTCATATTTGTTTCTACCACAGCCTTTTCTACGATGATATCTGCAGAAGTATCCTCCTTCTTGAAATAAAAAATGATATAACTTGTATTATCAAACGTTTTCTATGAATAACACGAAAAAATGTGAGGAAACTATCTTATAATGTATATATTAGAAACTTATGATACATATAGATTTATTGATAGATTTAAATATACCTCATTGTGACTTGGTGTTGTTGGTAACACTCTCTGTGGAAAACCAGGTCTTGGTGTCATGTACACAGATGGTGATGATAAAAGGCAAGGAAGTTGAGTGTCACGTACTCCATAACGTCTAGGACTTTCTGAATACTGTGCTATTGGTAATTCACCAATTATTCTTGCTACTTTGTGATTACGTTCAGAAGACGGCGAATCTACTTCGCAATCGCTAGCTGGAGTAATCACCTAAAAGTATACAGTTCAATGTACAAGATTTTTCCTTCAAAATGTATTTTATGTAATGTTTTTTTTTTGTTAAAATACTGAATTCATCTTCTCTTTGCGTTATTTAATATAATTTTCATTATTACAAGCATACACACTTAACTCAAATGCATTTGTTTTAAAGATACATATCGAATATGATATTATAGACATAAACTTCATAACACTAGATAATAGAAAAATGGAAGAAAGAATAAATGTGAAAGATACCTTAAAGAAATCTGAAGTATTACGATGATATGCCGTTGTCGGGCTAGGAGTGCTTCCAATACTAGAACTCAGAGGTTCTGGCGGAATACGACCTCTTTGAGACTCTTCAGACTCAAGATTTAAATTAGTAGATGTAACTTGGTTCGTATTAGTAGAAGATAAATCTAGTCGCAAATTTTGCCAGTTATCGTCGATATCGTCAAAAACGACCACTTCACCGTCACTGACAATAGCCATGCTTCTTGCTGGTGTTGTGTGATTCGATTGATAATCTATGCAACTCTTTGACAATCCATAATCAATATCCGTAATATTTTTTGGTACACCATATTCTACATTATTGCTATTCAAAATTGAGTCATAATTAATAATACGATTGCTGTGATTGCTCTTAGGGGAATCATAGTCAAGAATAGATTTTGCCGGATTATGTCGGACCGAATGTATTTCCGATGCAAAGACAGTTTCTGTTACTTCTCTATTAGAGCGTTGCTTTCTTGTGTCACCACATCTGAAAAACATTTATGCATGTACACTTGTAATAAAATAAGTATGCAAACAATTTATTAAATCTATAACAAATACCTTAATGAATAATAAATTTCATAATATATTCTACAAGCGAAATTTGTTATTAAAAAATTACTAAAAATATTCAAATTACCGGCTCCTTAATTCCCATATCGTTTGTGTATTTGGAGACTTATTATTTCTTTTAACTGATAACTTGTTATCTGTCTGAGTGTCTTCGTTATTTAAAGAATTTGATGCAGCAAGAAACCGCGATTTTCTAGCTGCTACTTTACCTCTACTTTGAGAAAAAACTTCTCGGCCACCAGCAATTTCTATAATTCTGAAAAAAAGCAAATGTTACTTCGTTATAAGTATTACACTTCCACACTCAACATGTTAGACTGTATTTAATTCTTTGTTCACAGGTTGTAAGACATTACCTGAGGAATATTTTCCTTTAAAACGAATGTTAATATGTTCTTATCTAGTCGTTGCATGATACGTGCAAAAAAACATAGTAAAAATCCATACTTGCAAAATAGATATTTTAAAATACCTTCTTACTTTCAGCATGTTCAAAACAAAGTTACTTATTCGTACACTTTTAAAACACAATAACATTAAACATAGATATGAAATTATTAAATAAGAAACTAAAAAATCAGAAAGCATAAAAAGTAGAAAAATATTACTTATAGATATGTAGTAATCATAAATCCACATCATGTTTTTTAATGCAATTTCAATGAGAGTCTTGTAACATAATATAATAAAAGCTTTTATGTATAAATGTATAGACTATAATACTTTTAATTTTATACTTTATAAAAGCGAAAAAATATTACATAAATGACAATATGAATGACAGAATATATATAATTTGTATCAGTTTCTAAAATACCATTATTTTTTCCATATATATTAATAATGATATTTATATTATTTAACAATAAATTTATCACTGCTACATTTCAAATCACATTATTAAAAATAAACCATAGACATTAAAACAAAAAACAAATATTGTATTTATAACATTTTAATAAAGAATGATCCTCTCCAAAATACATTATCATTATTACTTTTATTATTATAATTGTATAATGTCACATAATTACTAAAATAAATGTTATTTATTTTAACAGACTTTTAATAATTGAATTACAAAATTTAATTATGTTGCATTAAAGTATATATATTTAAATGACAAATAATTTAATGAAATTATGACGAATATTTATAATCTTATCGTTTAAAAAAAGGTTCATGTTACAAATATAAAAAAACTGTAAAGTCAAAACCTTTTTATAATTTTTGTATACATTTTTCAATAAATTCCTAGTTGACGTGATTTGATTTCTTACAATGTGATTTTGAAATGTATATCAAACAATTTATTTACATTAATTGAAATTTTGATTTAAGAGCTAATGATAATGCACTCTCAAAATAGCATAAACAAAGGCTATATTGAAGTTTTCACCGTGTATTTACGTATCACTTACACTTTTTCAATGAAACTGCTTGTTTAAGATTTCATTTTCATTGTTACATTTAATTTACACTCACTGTTATATTCTTTTGCAATGAATGTCGTAAATAAAACTCATGAACGACAGTGATGCATCTAACCTAACAGCACTTCTGCATAATATTTATCGACTATATACACTTCGATTGTCATTGACATGTTTATCGATTGCTTTTGAATGCGGGTAAAAACTTTGCATATGTTCCACTTTTTATTTTATTGCATATTGTATGTATATTATAAATATATAAAAACAGCAATTAATTATCAATTTCTCATTTAAGAATTAATACAAAAAATATTCATAGGAAAAGAAATGACATTGTAATTAATCTAACATACTGAATCAGTGTAGTTTTTTTAATAAACACCTCGTGTGTTTTAACTTATTGTTTCAATATAAAAATTGTTGTATTTAAAATATATAATATATTAAAGGCAGTGCTATTTTATATTTAATTCCATTTTTTATTAAGTTTGTTTTTAAACGATGTATTTTACAACATTGAGTTATAAAATGTTTATATTTATAATATTATAGGTCAAACAAGCAAACTGTATGCTTTATTAAATTTTTCTAAGCAGAATTATAATTTATATTATAATGCTTCTTTCTACGTCGACTAATGTGAATAAGAAACATTTGATTATGAGTTCTTTGGGTAGCATTCAATATTTAATAAACTTGATTAAGTTTTTTTCACACAGTTAATAATTGCAATGTAAGGTGGATGCTTTCTTATTCCTCAAATATTGTTCTTTAGTATTATTATCTGTACAGTGGAGAAAAAAAAATGACTAACCTGGAATCTGTTAATTTGTAGCTAAAGTCACCCTTGGCAGATGTTAATATGTACACAGGGCTTTCTTCAGGGCCACTGTCATCCTGTTGTGAGTGACCCTGGTGATCACTACCTGGAAGGCTACCATACTGTGGTGCATCCTCGCTACGCCCAGAGGCAGAGGAGGAGCTCGAAGACAGTGGTTTTGTATTAAGTGTGCCAAGAGAACTAAATGTTCCCAGTGGACCACTAACACTGCCATTGCCACCGCTGACACCAACGGATAGCTGACTATCACCTGCAAAACCGGACACCATGCTCGTTGTCCTGTGAAATATAAATATTTACAGGTTTTTTTTATATCTACAAATATTATTCTAGAAAATTTATAAAATGTTATAATTGTGCTATTACGGTATCATTTCTGGTCACTGTTGTTTATTTAAGTATTTCAAGAATTTTATCCAGTTTGAAATATATATTAACTCTTTAACAAGTCACATATGGAGTAAAAATCCGTACCAAGTGGTTCGTCAAAGTAATTATTTCTTGTTAGTCTTCTGCTAACATAAATACCGACTTAAAACTTGTTTAACAGTGGCCCTTGGAGTTTAGGGCTTTCATTCTATACACAAACAAAGAAAGTGTTAAAGCAAAAGTCACTAAAGAAAAAATTTCAATAAACTGGTCTACATTGAATAATATTTCTACCTTTTCATTTAATTATTCTAATGACTTCCATAAATTCTACAAACGGTGATTCATGAATGGTGAAAAAGACTCATTTTCTCTTATTCTAAATATATATTTCGGGTACTTCAGTGTGGGGACAAGTTTTTTAATGTTAAATTTTCGAAGTCATTCATTCTATAAAAATTTGTCTGTTTTGAAATGCAAATGTTAATTTTATTATTTGCACGATTGATTAAAATTTGTTCGTCTACAACTGTTTCAGAGATTTATACAGAGTCATTTGAATTGAAAAACAACTTGGAGCCATAGAACTATGAACTACCTGTAGTAGTTAAGTTTACAAAAATTAGTGACTGATAACGATTTTCAAATGTAAGTTATAAATTACATTTATACTATTATAACATTTAAATATATTTTACATATTATTCGTGTGTTGTTCAATGTCTGCAATTCAATCGGAACTACCGCGTCTCTTTAATAAACAAACTAATTACCGAACTCTATTGTTATTCCATACAATAACGGGATAAAACCGTAATTCAATAACGATTCCATCGGTGCCAGGGATCTAGAATTTCACATTCATTATATCCTGTGAGGGGCGACGATCTATAGATCCGCGGTTCGCTTACCTATCGGAGATGTCGCGCTCGAGGTCGATCATGTCTTCCGGTGTCGGGCGTGAGTGGTTCGTGTGTGTGTTCTTGGAGGCGATCGCGAGGGTGGTCGTGAGTGTGTTTGCGAGCGTGGTCGCGAGTGTACTCGTGAGGCTGGTCGTGAGGTTGGTGGTAACAGAGGCGGCCTCCTTCTGGCAGAGGCTCTCATGCGGCTGACTGATCTGCGTGGAGGCCCCCGGACTCGGGGGTGGGCCACCCCTAGGCCGACATTTCGGGAAAAGTCGGTTCAAGTCTGCGTTTTCCAAGATCAGGCTTGTCATCGCCACGCCACGTTCATATCTTTTAATAGCCTGTCCATTCTGAAACATCGTAACGCATTGCACATCAGTACATGTAGAAACATTACGCATCCTCTTCCATAATATATTATCTCTGTCGAAAGCTTAGGTTTGTTTTGGTACCCTATATTTGATTTCTGACAAGATGTCTTGATTTTAACTTTAACCATTTAACTTTTTCCATTACCTAATATTTTAAGAATACTGACTCCGAAACTACATATAGGATCCGACTAAATAATATGTAAAAGCGGGCATCACGTGATGTCTTATGAAAAAGTAAGAAAAAATATAGAATAAAAGTTTGTCATTCTCGGTTTAGTTTTCGAGAAAATGGAATTTGAAAATTAATCTGAAGCACGTGTATTCGTCATGATAATAAGTAGAAACGGAATGCAATGACCAGACGTGCTAGCCAAGCCCTATTCAATTACACGCGTATCCAGCAATATTCAAAGTCGATTTTTTTCGAAAACTAAGCCGAGAATGACAAAATTTTACACACTTACTGTACATGTACACTTTACTGAGACTCATCTTTGTAAAGTACCTTATGGAAATGAATATTTGCATAAATATCCTACTTACGAGTATTTAAAGAGTAGTATAAACCACCTGATAGATTCAATGTATCACAGACTCGCAACAAAGTATATTTATAGAGGCAAAGCGAAGCAAGAAAAATTCGATTTGGATTCGTGTGGTACGTGCCCCGCTGGTAACGCTCCCGTTACGATGCATGTAAATAAATATAAAACCGGTTAGTCCCAAAGTAAACGTAAACCGGTGACTGAGTTATTGATTGAGTTATTGATAGCTGAGTACGTGCATTGCATGGGATATTTTCAGCGCACAACCTTGCGCCCTTGATCCTGGAGAACGTGAGAAGTTGCGTTGTTTTCTCGTTGGTAACTTCAGGAAAAAAACAAGAGCAAACATATTTTCCAATGAGACTATATCGATCGGGATAATTGTTTATTTAAGGGAAAAGGAGTCCTTTTCTTCATGTAAATAAAAATATTATGTGACAGAAAGATCGAAAGGTTACAATCGTGGACGATGTGGTGACACGTTTCAGGTAAGTTGAAACATATAACGAAGGAAAAAATAGTGAAAGTACAAAATATGTACTGAAAATGTTATTTTGATTATAGTCTCGTAATTTTTAATTAGTTATTAATGAAATCAACTACGATACATATTAGGCTGGGACAGATTCTTATCTGTGTGACAGGACCTTTAAAGCATTACATTCGTTTTATATTCTATGAGAATGTTTATCTCATATTTATAATTCGTTTTTGCATGTGGAATTTTTTTACCCTGTATATATGTACCACAACATATGTACAAAAACTTTACTGTTAATTAATAAAACAAGGTACAAATAATAAAGAAAACAAGATACAAATTTGAGGTAATTATAGTTTCGGTACTTTTGCAAGCTGCCCAAGAAAATAAATGCATGTCATTTGGAAATTAAAATACAACTTGTACGTAAATACTGTACATCCTATTTTCGAAACTACGTTTAACCTATCTTTTTTTCATATTTGAGTGCATTACAGCCTGTACTATTGTATTCTCAATTTCATGGTTGAGAAAAAAAAATCCTTCATTAAAGGGTTAACGGTATTAAGTCTTCATCGCCCCTTGCTCAATAACAATTGCCGCATTAGTAACAATAAACCTGGAGTTGTTACGGATTAGGACGCATACTTGTTCCGAGTTGACATCGTACGATCCCGAACTCCAGCTCCTTATCTCCCCTTAATTGCTGTTTCGGCGCTCGAAACATGTAAACTTCAACTCCTAACAGATTTTACGATCACGCTATATACAGGGTGGTAAAAAGAAAAGTGTTCAGAACTTTAACGCTCAAAGGTAGTACCCGCCAAATGGAGGGGAAAAAAAGTCCCAATGAATATGGGCCAAGAAAACAATATTTTCAAAGTTACAAACCATTTTAATAATTGGAACATAAACAAGGTAACCCCCCACAAATTAAATGTACAAAGTATGATAAAGTATAAATAAACATCAGGTAACCACCAAATGAACCACCGATCCAACGAGGCCAACACGATACTCGAATAAATTCCGTACCGGTTCAACCCATAAGACACCCATGTAAACGTGGCAAGAATCATTTCCCTTAGTGCGCGCGCGTTATCATCGCGATGTTGCACAGACATTGTCGCAGGAAGAAATTCCATCCCGTGTGGAGATGGAACAGAATGAGAACGTAGAGAGATGTGGGGGTCGACGAAGTGGCGAAGGAAGCTGATGAAGAGAAATGAATGAAGTAATAGGACATGGAAAGCGGTAAAAAGGAGGAAAATATGGGTAGCAGAGGGATAAGAGGGAGGGGGGGGGGCTGAAAGGGATGTACGTTGAAGGAGACGCGCTAGGGACACATCACCAGTTTCAACGAGCACAGACGAAAGGGAACCGGGGGTATAAAGGGAAAACGAAGGGAATGTTGCGGATTCGAAGAAAACATGAGGACATTAACGGAAGAGGCATACACAGAGGGATGAAACAGTGGGGGTGGATGGGTGGTAGAATGAGAGAAGAGACGAGAAAGTACATACAGACCGAGAGAGAGGACGAGGGTTTGGCCCGTGCTTCGTTGAGCGTGGAATCAATAGGAGGTCACTGGCACCAGTAGATACAATCGGCACATTTTAAGTCCAGCTCGGTTTGTGTTGCACAGCTTGCTGGCTTGTATTGACCCTTCTTCCTTTTACGATTAATTCGCGACATATGCGTGTTCTTCCCCGTCCCTTTCTTTCCTTTCTCGCCCCCGACCATGCCCGTCCCCTAGTTTCTGCCACTCGTCTAATTTGCAACGAACCCGTTTCGCGGAAATACGTAGATAGGGCGACACAAATGATCCTTCGAATATTCATGAACCCGTTTTTATGGACATTGTTTTCATTCTTGCACCTTATTGGGCTCGATTCGACCTGATACTGAACTTTAACGTTTGATAAATGAATCTGATGTACGGTCGTTACTAGACTGCGGATTTTATGCGTTTATAGCATATATAGTGAGAGTCAAAATTAAGTACAGACTCCTCTCGATTATTGTCCCGAACTCGGGTCCGCGCTAGGAAAATAATCTTATAGGGAGAAATGCTTCAGAACCTCGTAAATTCGTTTTTTGCCCGAAGTCTAAAAGCGGAGGGGCAACAAAGTATGCGCTTGACAGGTTCCAGCCCCCCCCCCCACTGGTGGGGATAACGCCTGGATAATAATCGTGTAGAACAAGCCGGACGATAATCGAGAGGAGTCTGTATACACTTTAGAAAGGTGCCAGTCGTGTAATACTTCTGTAACATCTTACTATCGTAAGATCATGGTAGTAATACAGTTGGATATGATTTTTCTTAACATTTTCGGGATGAATAGGCAGTCACATAAATTACTATTATATAACCACAAAATTTTGTAAACATCATTAAACATGGTGAATGTCCTATTATGGTTTGGGCAAGCCTGGCAACCTCTGGGTGTAGGACAGTTGGTTTTTGTTCATAGTACTATGGCCAAATTTGGGTATTGAAATATTTTAAAATCAAATTCAGCTGCAAGTGTATTCATGGGTTTTTGAGTGGGATCATGGCCCAAAATATACAAGAAAGATGGTTAAAAACTGTTTGCTGGAAAACACTTTCAATTAGTTAAGTACTCCTTCACAGTCACCGGATCTTAATGTAATCGAGTAGCTGTGCGAAATATTACATTCATTTTGTATTGTGTAGTAAAATCGCACTGCTAGCATTATTATCAAACTAAATATTAGTAATTGCATATCTAAATAAATGGAACAGATAAAATAAAAATATTCAATAATATTTTATCAAGTAGTTGAATAAACACTATTTAATCCACATTTTTGGAAAATGGTCTATAAACATCTGAATCTAACTAAAGATTTTCATTCGAATTATTATTATCGTAAATCGATTCGCTTCACTAAATTTATTTTAAGGCAGATTCGCTTTAATCCTCGATGGATCAATAGAGTAGGGTCTGGAACAGTAATGAAGTATCTTCAAACACTGAAGGAAGAGACGGGATTGTTTAAATTAAAACGAACAAAACTAATATCTTATGTTACGATGCATTGACAGATTTAATGGAATTAAATTATTGAAGATCTTACGCTGTACCAACAGAGTACTCCGTCCGTATAAGGAATTGTATGGGTACTGCTTATGATTTCCAAACGTAATTCGATGTGCATACACGTGAAAATTCACATTTTTCCTTTCTTCAATAGAATTAATTGAATTCCACTGTATGCACGTCACCAATTTTCATTCTGTGGCCTGTTGCACTTTAAATTGCAGGTAATGCATTTCAGCGTACGACAAAGGGAGCGTTAAAAATAAAATTTATCGTATACCCTATTTATACATATATCACGTTTCGCAACTAATTTAACATGGAGCTCAAAGTTAGGAAAACATACATGTTAGTTGTTCCGTTAGGTCGCAACATAATATCGCGGACAATTTTCACCCTTTGTGTTCATCAATAATGATATTGAATATAATCATTATGCTAGTCAGTTTAATTAATTTTTTACATTAACGCCCTCATTAAATTTGTTACATACGCCTATCAATTACACTTGTTAAGTAAAATTGATATAAATTGTTGTCGTGCAACTTAACGAAGTTTGTGTCAATGGATTTTTCGTGCTCCTTTTATTTATTACTAAAATTAATTAAAGTCTCATTATGGTTTCATTAAAAAAACAATTCTATATTAAATAATTCGATTTTTATTTTTATTGTATACATGTAATACACAATGTTTACAATGCAAATATTTTCATTTGTGAAACTGTGTTTATCGAATTAGTTCAAGTGCAAAATCCCACTAAATTCTTTTTACTAAATGACGATAAAAACCATTTAAGAGAGAGAACGATAACAAACTTTTCATTTAATACTTAAAGTGGACAAATTACTAATACGAACTATATTTTCGTTAATAATACGTAAAGTGAGTGCCATAAGCAATTTATATTATATGATCAAATTATTCATTATTATACACCACTCTACAGAGGCTAAAATTCGAGGAAAAATTGATTTCTTCGATCAAAAGTTTCACCAAGTTAACAATCCAATAAAAACATTGGAAAAAAATGTCTACTCTCCAAAAAACTACAAAAAGCTTATAATAGTAAAAGAATATTATGTCGGATATTATAGTTATACAATGTAGCAATTAAAAAATGTTTGGAATTTTATAGAAAAATTGTATACCGTTTGTACCAACTGTACACGAGCCGTTCATTTGGAAACAATAAGTAGTCATTTATTTTAGTTACAAAAAGTTATGCACCAATCAAGTGCACTCGCGCGGAAAATTTGAAAAAATTCGAAAAGCGGTTTAGTCACTCTGGCCTGTGAAACGGTTCACGTATTGGTTTCCAATGATTTTTACTTCCCGAGGCGCGAAACAAGAGGAAAAACGGATGGAGGAAGTTGGCTTAATGAAAACGGGATGGGTGGGGGATTGTCAAACGCGTCCCCCGTTCCCATTCTGTTTGGTTTTATACATATAGGTAATCATTTTAGCACATAGTAGCAGGAGTTTTGTGGGCCCTAGTGCGTAACATCATTGTCCACCTATGATACATGTCAAATTTCCCCCACTGACCGGCGTCGCGCAATGCTCCGCTACAAGCTTACGGCCGTAGGTTGCCATGGATATGCGTTTCTCTCGCTCTCGTTCGACGTTCACACAGAGGGCCTCTCGGATGCGCCGCGACGAATAAAGAGTGTACAACATCCAACATACGCTCGCTCTGTTCCGCAGAAATTGTGAATCTATAAATATCGTATTTACTCGAGTTATCTCGCGATCAACCAATAGTGTCACTAACTTTTAAGCATATCGCCGGATGCAACCGTTTGTTCTTTCCAGTGTCTCCTGTTCACTGCTGACTTAATTATAAGTGGACTACGGATATCCTATGTTTTTGTAGCATTTAATACCATTTATGCATCAGTATTAGTATACTGGAACATGCAGTACAGGAAATCAAATGTTGGGAAAATTTACATTTTTTTGTGTATTTGTATCTACTGTTGCGGCTATGTCGACACTACCGCAGTCTAAGTATGGGTAGTTGAGTAGTGTTTTGGAAATTAGTGAAAATGTTTCGTTTTGATGTTTTATTGTAGAAGAACGTCACGTTTGGGGAATTCTTGACAGTTTTGGTTTGTTACTGATAGGTACTGATAGAGCCAGAAGATTAGGATGTCCAGTGACTTAAGGTTTACTTATACGAGAATATGTGTTGATGTGTATATTAAGGTTACTAGTGTAGGAAGGAATTACTATAATTAATAATAAATATTAAATAAATAAGTAAATAAATAAATAATGGATGTAACAGAACAATGAAATGATATTTCTTTCGTGATATCGTTCTTTTTACAGTATCCGGTGGAAGATTAAATAAATAAATATTACTGACTAATTTTCAGCTGATATCACAGACGTACGTGAATTATTTTTTCTATTAATATTGTTGTGAATGTAGTCTTTTCTAAAGTTTTTTTTGTTCCTAATTTTCGAACTAGAAAGTAAATGTTTTATTTGTGAATTTACGATACGAAGTCAAAAAGTATTACAAGTAATTCTTATTTTGACTATAAATTACAAAATTAAATTTATAATTATGTTTGTTATGTTTATGTGAGTTTGACCGACTTTGTACTATATAAGTTGTTTTGGATAAAAATGCGAATATTTAAAACTTGCCCCACTTTAAACGTCAGGTCACATGTATATATGTACCTACATATCCCTTCATCCACGAACCAATTAAAACTTCATTGTTCAGGAATCAATTAAAAGCATTATAAAGTGGAAATGATTATATTATTTTTCATACTAATCCCTTTTTGCAGGAAACATTTACATTATATTTCGTCCAGTAAACGAAATTTTAATAAACATTCTCTTATTCGAAACAAACAAAATTCGATATTAAATAAAATAGAAGGTATGTAACTTACTGAAAAATACTGATATACAATGAATAATACCTAACATAATAAATTATTTTAGTATGTAATGATTAACGAATGGAAAATTATATTTATTTAAACAAAGTCACTGTGTCACGTACACGTTACAAATTGATCCCCTTTTTTGAAATTCCACTTATTTCGGCATTTCGTGCTTTTATGGTATAGTGTGAAAACAACAATAAGCAAATCGAAACTTCTCTGTAATGGCACTACATATTTATCGATGCGTTCTTTGCGTGGCCGTAATAAAACTATCATGAAGAATAAAAGGACTGATACTTCCAGTATATCCCAAATAACACTAATCTCCTACACGTTATGGATCAAGAATACAAAAACGTTCATTTTCATATTTATATGGACTCCCTACTTGTAACGAATAATAAACTTTGGTAATGTCAAATTCCAATATGAACGTGAACGTGAAAATTTTCCAGAACATTAGACCTTATACAGAAGAAACATGTATTAAATAAAATAAATGAAACACAAAAATTAGTCGACGTGACTGTTCTCAAAAGAATTTTCAATTAAAGTGATACGCACGGAGACTGGTAGTCACCTCTGTTTAGAAATGAGAGCACCGTGAACGTACAGTGAGTCGTTTGACAATTGAGCAGGAAACACGTATTGTCTAACTAAACCTTACTTCGCGAGCCGAGATAGACTCATCTTTGGTATACCGAAAAATCGAAAGTAAAAATCGGTCGTGCCATTCCGTTCACGTACAGATACCGAACAGTACGACGGACTAATATACTTTCGTAACATGGGAGTAAATCGATCGAAATTTCGTAGACCCTCTCGGTGTTTTCGATATGTAATTTCGAGGAAAAACAGAACAGGGGGTTTTGGTTGTAGGCGTCTGTGTTCTATCCAGAGGTTTCGAGGGTGACTCAACTTGTTCGAACCTCGAATTATGCGTTTCACGGAGAAATTTCACGTGAAAGGGGTTATGCGAAAACGGTTGGAGGATTCGTAGTTCGGAAATGGTAAAAAACCGTAATCAGGTCTTCTACCGGAGTCTCCCATCGTATCACGACTTGTGAGAAAGAGGAATCGATCCAACATGTTAACGCGTGTCTGGCATCGAGGATGGCAGCCACCCGAACAATATACGTCTTGGACGAAAAAACTGGACCACCCGGGCCGTTCGCAATTACCTTTTTGTATCCGTTCTACAGCGTACACCGGTCACTTTATTATGGCACGATACACTGAATCGAATTATCACACGAAATGTCGCAATAATATCTGGTAATACAATTCGCGAGTACACAGGCCTTCGGACGATAGTCGAGCACTGAGCGAGCAGATGGCGCCCGCGTTTGTACGCCACCCCTAGCGTCAAATTCTCCTTCAACCCCCTTCTACCCCCACTACAGAATTGCTCATCGCTTTCGGGTAGAGGGTTGATCGTGTGACTCACGTCAAAGCACCGAAAGTCAGCGCTAGTTACAAATCTGTGAAATTCACTGTGATCAGGATTTTAGGTTTTGGTTAATTTCATTAATGCGAGTGTTTCGCTCGTTACTTAATAAAAGATAATGATAATACGATACAATGCAATAATGAAATTGATCAAATTTGTCAAACAGGGAATGAAATTATGGCATGATGAACTGCCATTCAATTTACCACGGCTGTAACAGGCAGAAATGTTGGTCGGGTAGAAATGAACGTTTGCTTTCGATAAAACGATAAAGTGATAAGGAAACTCTGAATGATAAGTGCAACGAACGTTAAAGTTTGTTGAAGTATGACATCAGTCATTGTGATAATAGCGTTTTTTTAATAATAGGAGACAACACAGTTATGATGGAAATGTTTACGCATATGTGTAATTATGGAAATATATGATTGTTTAATGTTTTAAATAATGTGTTATAATTGACTTGTTACGGAACTATTATTAATGGGTTTGATTACAACTATTGATAGCAACGGAGAGGAATTTTGAATATACTTGAAAAAATGTTTTATTATTATATTATCTTGTCTGTAGAGTTATGATTATTCTGTTGTTTTTAGTAGCTTGTTTTGTTTTGTTAATCTTATGTGAATCGAATATTTGCTTTCAAAAAATGTTGAAAACACGTAAAAAAAATAGAAAGTTATTTAAATAAATATGTCTCACTTCTTAAAATTATTACATAGGGCGGTATATTTTGAACATTTCAACATTTAAAAATTTTTTAAGTGAATACACATTTTGTTTTATAGTGCAAATTTTTAATTTTATTTTTAATTAATTTCGCGTGTGAAATTTAAAAATTGAAACACCAACATTAAAAACACTGACCAATACTGTACTGTTGAAAGAAAATGTTTAAGTATCCTTACGTGGCAGGATTAAGTTGTTTAACGTAATAGACAGCGCAGTATTTACGTTAAATATAAAATTAGCTATATCAGAAACACGTGTGTGTATTCATAGATAGACAGACACATACACACATTAACACGTAGTTTTTATTGATGAAGCATGTAGTGATGTGTCTTGATCGTCACTAGAGGGCTACAAACTGTTAGAGATTCTCGCTAGTGTTCAACAATAATTTTCCTAAAACAATTTTCTTCGAAATATTCCCATGCTTAAAATAGGATCGACTGAAGAAGTTTTCCTGATAGATTCAGGTAGCAATTTGTAAACTAAAATGATATAAACTTTGCAAACATTATTCTCTTTGTGTACGTTATCTTTAAATATTTAGAAATTTCATAGTAACAAGCGAATAACAATACGCCCTCTATTTGTGATATTCGCAGCACAAAACGACAACATATTATTATTTGTGACACAAACGATTGTGTTGGTAAGGTTAGACACTTTTGTTGTCACTTTTTACAATTAGATAATATGATATTTATGGTTGTTGTATACTGAGCAAGATAAATCAAACTGTTACGAATATAGAATTTAATTTGCGAAAAATGTTCTTTTTCAAAGTTAATATCGTGACTCTGTTATGCAATTTTGTAATCTTTGTAAAATAGCGTTAACAATCTTGTACAAGGAAATAGTAATAGGTACTGAATATGGAATGTTTTACATAATTTTTTAGGATAGAGTTTCAAGTGTGATTGAAAATGGTTTGTGAAAAGTGTGAGAAAAAATTGGGAAAAGTCATAACTCCAGATCCATGGAAAAGCGGTGCTAGAAACACTGTAGAGAGTGGAGGACGTAAAGTTGGAGAAAATAAAGCACTTTCCGCTGGAAAGGCAAGGTTTAATCCATACACAGCTGCGTTTGAGACTTGCAGAATATGCAGGCAAAAAGTACATCAAGTTGGATCACATTATTGTCAATCATGTGCATATAAGAAAGCTATATGTGCAATGTGTGGTAAAAAGTTGATGAGTACAAAGAACTACAAACAATCTGCTACTTAAAGTGTTTTGAAGACATGTTTGTGTTTAGTAGGCATGAATTAATTTCATATGAAAATGAACATTATGTTCATAATAAGAATGTGTAAGCAAGTATTTGCCTTGTATAATTTGACAAAAAAAAAGGATATAATCAAATCTTTTTTCTTGTAACAACAAATTGTAAATACATTGTATGAAATGACATTTTATAACAGTATAATTGATCCTAGGTAAAAGCTCCCTAGGTATAGCTTCTGTACAAACTAAATATATGATTTTCTATGAAATCTAATTTTTTGAATTTTATATACAAAAATATGTTTTACTACTGAGCTGTCAAATACATTAGATACAACTACGCATTATGACTTACTACTGTAGACTTATTTAATCAGATGCAAATACTGTTAAAATGTAAGTTAAGGCTACAAAATATTTTTGGAAATATGTAGCAGAAGAGTGTACAATAAATAACAGAAATATTGAGTTAGACACTTTCATATTTCTTGATTTATAAGAGTTAATTAAATATTTTCATGTATGTGAATTTGACAAATGTACAATACTTATCAATTATTTTGTAATAAAACTGTTTTTTGTTCAATAGTATATGGTTTGTTATTAAACAATATTATAAAATAAATTTCAAGATTTATAGGTAGATTTTTATGGTAATTTATCTTATTGGATTGAATATAAAATCTACCTGCAGTCTTCATATACTACATTTTAATGTCCATACATACAAACATTTGAAATGCATACACACATGCATTTTTAGTATTTGCTAAGTGGTACAGTACATGGTTGCAAAAGATCAACTCAGTATCCTTAATAAACAGTATTTTAGCGAAGGGAAAGTTCTTTTATCGGTAATTCGTCCAACCTATTACCACAAATTGGTGGTTTGATGGAAAGAACCAACAAGGTACAAGTGGGTATTAGTTGGTATCAACTTACCCCACACAATATCAATCATGTACAACACCATGTAAAGAAGTTTCATTCAATTTTATAAATTAAAATATTCGGAAAAATTTTCTTTGTTTATTCCAATATGTTATGATCACTCTGTTTATGCATTTCTTCGTAATACTTTTTCAGTACTTGTATCTGCAACTTAACAAACTCAGGTTGATTCAACGACCAGAGCAATAAATTCGAAAACGTTCGATCCACTTCTTCTTCATCCAGGCACGAAGGAGTCTTCTGAACGAGGGGACATTTTTTCTCGCATTTGGTATTCGGATCGTCCTCCGTTTTTTCACACGTTGACAGCCAATTTTCGATTTCTTGTTGACTGATCGTCGTACCAACAATGGCGCCGACTGTTTCTCGGATACCGGTAATGCTCGACGCGTCAGCGTCGCGCTCTTCTTCCTTCACTAAGATTTCTTCTTTTGCCCTGTTGCCCAGTAATTTTTGCCACGAGTCACGGATGACAACCCGGGACACGTCCTGCCACACCTCGTTTACCGTATCAATACAATCCTTTATATCGTAATCCGAGTAGAATTGAGTTACTCCATAAGGAAGACCCAAAACTTTCTGCAACACCCGATGACGAAAGGTTTTCTTCACCATCTCCACGATTCCCTGACCCATTGGATTCAAGGTCGATTTCGCGTCCGCTGGGAGAAAGACAACTTTTATGTTATCTTCTTCCATTTTCACCTCTAGTGGTTTCGCTAGCATGTGAGCATCATCAGTGTCCACCAGCAGCAACACTTTTCCGTGGCGACCGTTTTCGAGCTGATGCCTTCTTACAGCTGGTTTGAAGTGATTCTCCAACCAATCGTCGTACACATCCTTGTCTATCGAAGCGTTCTCCTGGGTCTTGTAAACAACCGGTAGACAATCTTGGTTTAAATGCTTCAGGGCCCTCGGTTTCTCATACTTATGAACGAACAGAGGTGGCAATTTGTGACTACCGGTGACATTCGTACAGAGTCCTACGGTGACACAGTCCGTTTGTACGTTATTCAAAATATTCTTTTCTCCAGTATGAGCCAACACTCTTGGAGGAAGTGTTTTCCACATCAGGTTCGTCTCGTCCATACTATAAATGTGTTCGATCTGTATATTCTCTTCGTTGAGACGCCATAGAAAGCCTTGGATAAATTCCTCCTGCTCTTTCGTCGGAACATCGGTATCCTCTGTCACAGTGGGTGTTTTGGTGGCGGCGATACCGTGACGTCTCTTGAACCGCCATATCCATCCTCTGTTAGCAGTGAACGTCGACGGGCCGGCGAACTGTTCGTTCAGTTTCAACGCTTTCTTGTGGAACTGGGCGTCGGTGATACGCTCGCCGATTTCACGTTGTTGCAAGTACCACGCGTACAAACGATCGTCCAGGTCGTGCAACACAGGCTTTCGCATCCTCTTGCGAATCTGCCCCGAAGTGGCCGAGGTTTGCTGCAATTGGGCCGAGTTTCTCTTTATACGGCGAATCGTCGCGACGCTGACCCCGTAGTCCGTCATCAATTGGCTGACCGGTACACCGTATTCCAGCTTCCTTAAAATTTCCAGTCGTTGTTGCAGCGAGAGCACGATATACGTGTTATTACGTTCAGCGGACATCATATAAGAGAAACGGAGGGCACACACGCTTTGCAAATATATGACGTCGCGTAACGTTCGTAGTGTGCCAGGAAGCGTTAGTTAAACGTACTAGCCTTACGAAATACAATATTTTGTTGATGTGTTAGGCTTGATGGATCAGTGGACACTGTCAGCTCCCTTTTTTCTATGTGGGAATACGCACACGGCGGTGGAGAACACGTAGAATGAGTATGAAATGTAGCGATTATAGAAGTTTCGAGTGGTATACCGTTCACAGCGCTCCACGGACTAGTGCGCCCTTCCCACCACGGATTAGTGCTCGCGCAGACATCCCCACCAGCTTTTTTGCTTAATCCGCTCGAGCGACCCTTCCATGACGTGCGACCGACAGCTGGCTGCTAAGAGTGATAATGCTAGGCGGTTAGGATGATTCATCCGCCAAGTCGAAATTAAATTTTTAGAATTTTCGTTATATTTTTCTAAAATTATTAGCATTGAATTGCTGATGTTTCTGCGATGAAAATGAGTCTAAACATGACATCGTTCGAATTATTTTTTTTATTTCTCCACACGTTTTTTTTTTAAATTAGTTAAATAGGATTTGACTAGTGTATACTAGTAAAAATGGTTTGAATTAAATGATGTTTGGTTTCATTTTTAGAAAAGTAATTTCAAGCATCTGCATAGTAACATTATTTGTATGAAAGTGTAATAAAAAGTACTGTATATTTGATTTTCATTAGCGAATTACTCATTCTCCCCTTCTTGCTTTTATTGCTCTTGGTATCTGACTGCAGTAGGTAGACCGCAGACCGTTCATTGTTCCTCCGTCTCGCTTGCTCTTGCTGTATCTAGTTCACCCTCTTCGTCGAATGGACACCTAGAGATAAGTTGGGTCAGGCTTGAAATAAAAACTCCATCTTCCCCGGATTAGCCTTCATTTTGGTGTGCAGTAATTCGCAATCTTCGGTGGTTTAACAATTCTGATTAGAGATATTTTTGAGTTTCCAAAATTAAAATTTCTTCTTCTATAGTTCAAAAAATAAAAATTTCTTCTTCTAGTTCCAAAAATAAAAATTTCTTCTTCTAGTTCCAAAAATAAAAATTTCTTCTTCTATAGTTGCAACAATTATAATTCTTCCTTCTATAGTTCACAAAATTATAATTTTTTCTACTAAACTTCTGAAAATTAAAACTTGAATTGTAAATAATTCTTCTATTAACAATCTCTACAACCAATTTTGAGATACATTCAACGATGCTTAACATTCTGATTATATTGTCCACTGTTTGCGAGTACCTTTGTTAGCCCATGACCAAACAATTCGATTTCGTTTATACCCTCGCTGATTATAGTACGTCACTGTTGTTACAGCCAGAGGGGGGCAAATTCATCATCTAGATAAAGAGTTTCGAATAACGAATAAAAGATCAAAAAAAGTACATTGCCATTTTTAATTGATGAAACGAGAAAATTCCAATTTTCATAATAGAATAATACTTTTTCTGGAATGAGTAGACACTTGGCAAATAATTATTTGATTTAATAAACTGTTTAAAGGTCTAGATACTCTTAGATACTGTTGTTTTTCACTATCTATAATGGTGCCCGCTTAAGCGTCCACATTTCTGCCTACTTTAGTGTCCGTTACTATCCCCTCCAGTTTTTAGAATTGGGCCTGTGTTACTTCGTGTAAGATATCGGTATTTCACTCATAATCATCATTTCTCTGTCGCTCAGGTCGAATCCTCGGAAATTTATCGATCTTGATAAGCGTCCAAATAAGGTTCCGAGGCCTGGACGCTTAAACGGGCATCACTGTAATTATTCGAATTGTGCCCCAACTTTGATTACGGCCAACTATACTGAAACGTCGTGACACACATAATTGTATAACTAATTGATGTGAAACTGTTTCTGGCACAATTTTTATTTCTCTGAACCATGAGACATTTATACAATTTATTGCCGTGGGCGATTGTCTCCTTCATATTGCACAACATTGTAAACCACTTATTGCTTGCGTATGATATAAAATAAACATAATTAAAATTCAAATATAGTAATACAAATTTTTACACGGGTCCACAATCATAGCGGGGACCTATTAATTTCTACGTATGTTTCGATACAATCGACACGGTGAAACAATGATATGCAATTTTCACGAGAGATATTCAAAATATACACAATTTTCGACGGTAATCCAAATGACTTTTTCCCATTATCATTCAATGTCTTCCTCTTTTTTTTTGCGTCTTATAAGTTAGGTGATTAAAAACATTTTTATTAAAAAATATTATACTGCGCTTTGAAAACGACAATACCCTTAATTGTCATATTTATTTTCTTATTCGTAACGACTTTGTGTTAATAAAGTAATAAAGATATCATACAACATTCGTATATATAATAATAACACTACTTCGTATTAGTTAGATTCACTTCGTGTTACTCTACACACTGTCCACTCTCAGAGCAACGTAAAAATACAACTTAACCGTTTCGAATGTGATAACAACGGTTTCCTGTGAGGATTTATATTTTTTACAAAGGTTCCACGTGGTTTCAGTATTTTGTACACATTCTTGCCTCGTATTGAGTTGATGTCGTTCAAGTTGTGTGAGCATCATGTACAGTGGCAGAAAAAGGTACCCATATACACTAATAATATTTACCATCAAACAACAATACTATTTTTAGTGTAACGACAGGTTAAGAATGATTTCCATTAGGCTATACGTTAATATAAAGCTAACTTGTTCTACTGTACTTGGAAGTAAATCATTCTTAATCTAACATTATAGTGAAAGTAGTATTGTTAATTAGTAATAGGAGTCCCTAGTGTGGGAATACCTTTCTTCTTCGACTGTATGTACCAAGAATCATGCAAAATGTCCCAACAATATCGCATTCAAAACTGCACACACCGTTTACGTGCACTACTATAATCACTAATTATTTTTATACATTATGTACCTGTTAAGCTTTAAGCCTTAAGAAAGATATCGAATCTCTGATCGCTTGTACCGTGTTCAATTTTTTGTCACGAAGTATTTGTGCAATGCAGTCATCGCTGTCCGTAGCATTAAGTTGTTGCACGTTGTGTGATCGATTTATTGTTAAAACTTGAACATTACATATATTAAACATTAAAATAGAATAATTGAAGAAATTTGTAGTTCTTGCGTGTGTCGGGCAATTTTGATTGTGAGTATTAAATTACTACATATCATTTTTATATTCATTGTCATGACTAGACTGTGGAAGTTTAGGCAAATTCAAAATTTTACATACTATGGAGACTATAATTGAACAGAATTTTATTTCATGTACTTGAGTTTTCACAATATTAATGATAATGCAGAAACAGAATTGAACTTTGTTAAAATCATTTTTTTACTATGCTTTGAAAATTCAGAGATGCAATAAATGCATCAACAGTCGCAGTCATAACATATTTAACTATCATTTATTTATAATTTAAGATTGTCGTTAAGTTTGTAATAAACTTTTACACAACTGCAAGCAGTGGTAGCTTTAATAAATATCAAATCAGTTTCGAATATACAGGACGTTTTCGAATCCTTTGCTCAATCTTGTAATTTGTTATGCAACTAAATACCACCGTTTAATATTATCTGTTTGAAGAATTAAAAGAACACCATGAATTTTTCAAGTTATTGAATGATATACTTGAACAAGAGGCACGTTTAAAAAGATTATATGATTAAACAAGGGTCATTCGAAAAAAAAAATGTCTCGGACCTATAGTAATGACTAAAAATAATAAATATGTGTCGACTGCCTTTATTATACAGTTGTAATAAAAAAAATGTAGCATGAGGTATTTGAATCTTTCGCGGCCCCGGCTGTTACTATACATATATGTATAGTTCACGATTTTGTAATTAACAAGAATTTCTAATTAAATTCTTTTTTTTTATCCCGGACAACTTTTCCGTTTACAACTATTATTAAAATGAAAGACACGTTTTTTTTCATAATTGCACGTATTTAACAAAGACATATGAATTTTCGTTAATTCATACACGTCAATAATTAATAATTAAATATACTAATTTAATTCCAATTTCTTTACACAAAACTGTTGTCAGTTTTTATTACCACGATTATCCTTGAAACTTTATCAGTTAGTTAATGGATCGTTTAGTTAAATAATTTAGGAGCACCCTGATGACTAAAGTTTAAAATTCTTGAAGTCCTTGAATACTTCTACTCTTAAAGAATAAACTTATTGTTTCTCCATTCTTAAATTCTACAGATTAAATCGAGTCTCTTAGAAAACTTTCTTAAAACAAATATTTAACACACTGTACTTTTTTTTTGTTATCATTTAAGTAGCTTTAAAGCAATTTCAATCCCATTATTATATCAACCATTATAACCGCAATATAATCTCCATTTATATATATATATTTATATCTACAACATTATACGTCATTGTCCAGTTATAGTTCAATGTAGACAAATAAATATACAAAAACAAAAACTGTCTACACGTTCAAGAAATTCAAGGATTTTTGACAAACGAAATCAATATGGCGTTGTAGCAGGATCTTTCAAGTTTAAAATCCGAGTGACTATCACTAAATAATAGCACGTAATTATATTACAACCACGTAAAAAATCCTTCAGATAAACAATTAATCGTTGAAACTTCAGATAAACGTTATTCGAACAATGTGATACTTTTGGGACAGACTTGAAATATCTTGTGTTGTTGCAATACGGACACTCTTATACACTATACATTCTACGTTCAAGTGGTACTCGACCGTACCATAAAAAAAAACAAGAAACAAGTACAGATTAATAACACTGGAAAAAATGATTTAAAGTAATATAATAAAGAAAAAAATATCAACGTTCAAGAAGAGGGTACACGTCGACTAAAGATGAATACGATTAAACGGCACACGTGACACTGCATAATACTGCACTATCTTACAAAGACGGAATTCACGTATAATACAATTTCTAACTGCGATAATTTTTTTTACGAACACAAAAAAGAAGTATACGTTGAAAAATAAATACAATTTAATTACAACAATAAACGCTTTTATCAAAACATCAAAAAAACACGTTTTTTTTTAAACAAGAGCCAGTCTTTTTAAGAAGGGGGGATCGAAGAAGATACTAAATAAAAATTGTTTTTTTTTCGACTAGTTCAAGAGCAGATCTATTCAGGATGAGCGTAACACGTACGTATATGCATGCGTAAAATAGCGATCGACAATCTGATTCGTCCGTTGTGACAAACGCTGTGAGCACAGTGTTGTCAGAATTGTTCCTTCAACGTTCACGGCATCGAATTCCCATTGTTGGATCACAGTACTCGCAACGAAACACGTCGAAATGACAAGGAAGATACGAGTCTGCAACTAGAGCTACATACCTTCATCTGTAAACGCGTTTTCGATATTGATGGGGTACAATAAAAACAAAAAGAATTGTACTTGTAGAACGTTATGAACGAGCAAGCATTCGCGTCTCTCAAGAACCAAACGATATTCAAATAATCGATATCGTTCACCGGTAAAAATCCTCATCGATTCTGTTCCTTGTCCTCTAAAAACGTCCATTGTTCGAGATTCTTCGTATCCGACTGTTTCAGTTCCTGATTCGTATCCGAGTCGTCGCTGCCTTTCGACTCGTTAGGCTTGTATTCCGACACATAGATCACCTGCTTCTCACCGTTTCCCCTCTTGTTCGACTTCGCGATATCTGTTCGTCTCGGTGGTACGGGTGGCTTCTTGTTCGACGCCTTGCCGTTCGACGTCGTTTTGATTTCGTTCTGCGCAGACTTCTTCTCTTTCCCGATTATGGAAAGCGTCTCGTTGTTCCCGTCGCTGTCCTCTTGGACCAGTCGTTCCTTGTTAGGGGACAGCTTGATCTCCGTGATATACGTCATCTTCTGGGGCATCGGCGTGTTCGGTAGGGACGGTCGGTTGTCGAAGTCCTGGGGATTGTAATCCATCGACTCGCCGACCAGACCGCTGTCCTCACTGTTCTCACCACTGGACACACTGATATTGTTAATGTTACGACGATCCTCACGATCGAACAGATTCTTGCTGCTCACGGTCACACCGGAACCGAACTCGTACTCGTCCTCGTCCTCGTCGTTCTCCCGGTCGATCCTATGACTAGTGGGAGTCTCGATCACTCGTCTGGACGGCGACGTCGAGTCGATCGACGAAGTCTCGCTGGTGTTCCCCCTGTGCTTTAACGTCGCCCCGTGCGGATGAGGTAAAGAGTTCGCTTCGTCTTCGTCCGGGACAGTTATCGAATCGGAACCATTGCCCTCCGTCGAGTTGGAGGAATAGTCTTGCAATGGTATCGGAGTGGAGGATCTCTTCGAGGAGAAAGCCCTCTTCTTACAGGTCTCGTGGCGATTGCAGTTATCCGAGCACACGTGGCACCCTCTTTTCACGTGAATCTTGGCCATAGGTTCCTCTTCAACTTCCTTCCTTCCAGCGTACGAAATTGGATCGTTGCTGGCCAGCAACGATCCATCCTCTTTCCAGTTCTTGAAACGGAACAGATCGTGGTGCTTCGACGTGTCGGTGAAAGTAGGTGATTTCTCTGAGAACGCCTCGAAATGTTTCAGAGCCTTGGCAAAGTCTCTGCTGGTTGTTTTCTCGTCTTCGTCCGAAGAATCGTTCACGGTGAACGACGTGCCCTGCTTGAATTTCCGTTCCATCTCTTCAGGTGTTGGACTCTTGACAACGACCCCATCGTTGACGATTCTGGCCAATGAATTGTCTTCGTCGGGATTGAACATACGTTCCGCGTGAATGAATTCCTCCGTTAGTCTCTTACTTAGAGGAAGATTGTACAGCTCGATGCTGGTTTCATCGGCAGAAGCTTCTTCCTTCGGCGTGGAGTCGTCTTCGTCTTTCAGTTTGATTTCCACGGCCGACTTGGACCGTTCCAGAGAATCGTAGCCCTTCTTTCCGGTTCTGGACATCTTCGATTTATCATCTGTCTCCTGCTTCTTACACCAGACCATGTCTTCCAAGTTGCCCCACTCGTTCGACTTTTTCAATAGCCGTCGGTCGAATGTGTCCATCTGATCGAGCTTGGTCAGATCTTCGGTTGACTCGTTGATGTCCTCCGGCGGTAGTGGCGCCTTTCGTTTCTTGGTCCCATTATCCGTCATGTCTAGACTCTGAGCTCTCTCCAGTGTCGCAGACGTTCTGCACTCGTACTTCGACAGATCGCCCAAGCTCGCTGCTTTCCGGTACACGTCATCGTCATCGTCCTCGTCGTTGTTCGTCTCCGGTATGGGTGTCCGATGAATAGTAATGTCAGCCGAATTCAGCTCGATGGTTGTGAAGCTGTTCTGTATTTCACTGTCGGTGTCGGATTCCGAGTGTCGCGCGTCGACGATCGAACCGTCCACCTTCTGGTCCCCACGGGGATCCGTTTTCTCCGTGGTCTCGCGCACCTTGTTCACGTAATCGGTCAAAGAGTCCGCATAATCGGTGATACTATTAATTTCATCTTCCTTCTTCAGATCGTACCCCTTTGCCGGGGAATCCTTTCTCGGAGAAGAAACGTCACTGTCGTTGTTGCCTTTTGGTGGCTGGGGAGCTTTCCGTTTGTTCTTCTGTACATTCCGCTGATCCTCCGTCTCAACAACCGGTTCCACTGTTTTCTGCACGTTTAATAGCTCCGAGCTGTTCTTTCGGTTCCTACGAGCGGCCATGGCCGCATTGTGCACTTCTGCGGGTACCTCTGAGGGGATGTGAATCGACGTTTCTCTGTCCTTTCCACCCTTGTCCGGCATGTCCACGCTGCGAGCTTCGAAGATGTCGGTCTTCGGTGTGTTCGATCCCTGAGCGTTCTGTTGCCGCTGCGATTCCTCCTTCTTCTCGCCAATTAGAGAAGTCATGTTCACGTTGGTCAGATGCTTCTCTGTGTCCATCTTCTTCGAGTTTCGTCTCTCGAGGTTCGTATTGTGCTCGTTTTGATTCTCGATACGGTGAACCGTGCCGTCCAGGGCGGGCAGCACTTTGATCCCAAATTTTTGGTGATTACTCTTCGATTCCTCATGACGCTTCTCGTATTGGTTGATAGGCGTCGATTTCGTCGACTTCAGGGTCGAGTTCATTGTCGAGTAATTCGAGCAAACGGATTCATTGGGGTCGACTATGAACAACCGTTTCGCGACGATTCTTTAAAAGTGTCGTTGGTTTTGAGCCGGTACCTCCGCTTTCTACTTCGAGCTTCACGTCGTACGGGGACGCGTAGCTCAAAATCGTGAGGGCGTCTTCGTAGACCATGTTTCGGAAACTGATCTTCACACTGGCGATACGATCACCTGGAATTATACAGAGTAGAAAGATTGAGATCCATGTTGTAATTGTTAAAGTATAATAATTTTATTTAGTCAATAATTATGACTTGCATACGACTTCCAGTGTGTTCTCAAGATGTGGGAATTCAAATTGTTTTTCTTAGTTTTAAATGGCATATTTTTAAGGATTTATAATGGAATGGATTCGATTACTAACCAGGATGTATTCGTCCAGATTCTGAGGCAGGTCCACGATGCAAGAGATCTTTCACAAAGATTCCCTCCCTCATGTTACCGCAAATGTTGAATCCAAGTCCCGTGAAGTCCCGGCTTTTCAGGCTGACTACGCTAACCTTCGTAGCCTTTGGCTGCACAGACGAAATTATGCATTATGCAATCAGAATTTATGTCTGTGTCAGGCATAGGCAAAAGGTTTAAATAAGTAATAAATACAGAACATAAGAAACCTATAGCTATTACATGTTGAGTCAAAGTAAAAAATCTAATTAGAGACTAGGTCAATGTTTAATCTGTAAACAGGGATAATTATTTTTAATCACCGATTAACACTAGAACTACCGACGATAAACGTATACCTATTTCTATCGGATCGACAAACACGACAAACTATTAAAAATATACAATGTTACAAATTAACTCATTTTTTCATTTTTATATTGCAATAACAGTTGTGAAATATCCTAGAAATGCATTGCTGTAACATTCTAATCATCGTTATAAGAGTGTAGTAACCAGTAATTTTGACTGCTGTAGTAGTTCTAGTGTTAACCGAGGAAAATTTTATGCATTTCTATTCCATGTTGTACTGACCTCGTACTAGTAAACAAGAAGATACATAAGATATATAAAAATATATAAATTACGTTTTAACTAAGAATTATTCTTTTACGATGAAACCGAATTATTTGACGATCAAATATTATAGAGTTCAGAAATAATATAAATTTATTGTATTAATATTTAGAAGTCTTCATGTAGGACACGGAGAACAATAATTAAAATAATTCAGACACGTAGCTCGAAACATTTCAGTGTCAAATTAAACCAATTTACTTGTAAGACTCGCTCAAACAGTAACTTTGTAATTCAGCTCATACGCAACGGATTTCCTCTCTTCATCGAGAAACGCAGGGGAGGCACGTATCGGACATGGCTAGATTAACTGTAAACACATCCAAATTTGGCCGTGCAAAATATCCGGGTATGTTAGGCACATATTGCAATGAAACGTGTATACTTCAAAGCTTTGTAAAAAATCACTTTGCACCGCTTGTTTTAGTCTATATTGCAAAAATCAAAAACAAAGAAAAATTCATTTCACTACCTGAAGAATCTATCGAGTCCAAAGTAAAACAAGACCTTCATTTATGTTCATTAATTCTTTATCTCATTGTCTTGCGCAATTGCATACGTGGTCTGTCAGAAAAGTAATGGAAAGTGATAGCGTAGAAATTGGTATCGTCAAGTTATCTACTAATCAACATTATTCCTTTCAAGATAGTTCCCTTAGGAAGCCACGAACCACTGGGGACATTCTTCCCACTTCTTGAAACAGTGCTGGAAGTCTTCAATTGGAACTGCTTTCAGTAAGTCTGCCACAACTTACTGGATATTGTCCACACTTCCAAGATGACGACCTCGAATTTGGTTTCTTTTTTTTAAATTATTCATATTTAAATAATTTATAGTTATAATAATAAATATTCTATAGTTGTAATAAATATTCATATAGTGAATATTTGTGAAAAATTCTTTTGCACAGAGGTTTCTTGACTATTGCATAATGACAACGCTCACTATCACCCTGCACTTTTAGTGAACGAGTTTTTTTTTCAATAAGGGTATTCCTGCTCTTTCATAGCTCCCTTACTCCCCTGGCCTAGATCCATGTGATTTCTTCCTATTCCCAAAAATCGAATCCCATTTCAAGGGTCGTCATCTTCGAACTTTGAAGAACGTCCAATAGGTTGACTATAGACCAAATGAAAGCAGTATCAGCCAAAGACTTCCAGCACTATTTCAAGAAGTGGGAACAAGGTCTTCAGCTGTTTATGACTTTCCAAAGGAATTACCTTGATGGGGATAACGTAGATATGTCGATAATTTGACAATATAAATTTCTACGCCGTCAGATTCCGTTACTTTTTGAACAGACCTCGTGCACAGCATAAAATAGTACAAGTCTTTTGTACTTGTAACGAATGAATAATGTTTAGACCCTTTTACTCTGCGTTGATAACACTATCGAATAGTGTTTGGGGACTTAGAAGTAGAAGAATAGGAAAGGAAATGTATGTAATACTTACTCCGACACAAGAATCGTCGAGAGCTTTTCGCTTATCGTTGCGGTTGGGCGATCCCAGACCAAGGGACGTCCAAGAGGTAGACCATCGTACAGAATCTTTACCTGGGGTGTCTCCGGATGCCACGGACACCGTTCCCTCACGAACTCGATTCGTCGTCGACGCCGTGACATCTTTGAAGCACGGATTGTCGAAGGCGTAGGCTTCCTCGACGATTTCTGGGTCTGTCACCAGTACCAGGTGTTTCCCTGAAAATGTTCGCCATAAAATTAACGACTATGAAGAGTTAATTTTTCAGACGTGTGCATTCTCATATAAATTTGTAGTTTTAAATATTCTGCACTATTATGCATCTGGATGTTGTGCAACAACAACTTTTTGTAACAGATTGTTCGGTTTGAAAGTTAGTCAGGTATTCTAAGAATAAATGACTTCCTCGAGTCGTTTATCTCTGTCTTCCTTATTTCCATTTAATGAATAAATTCTTTCGTTGAAACGAGTGTGGCGAAGTGTGGGTACTTGTGAATCCCCTTTGAGGACTAAGAATAATTTTCCAGAAGAAATTAATGTTTTTCAAACGAGTCGTTTCTATTATGTCTGCTGCAAATGTTTCCTAGCTGTCCAGTGATTTGTCGGGAATTTCAAAGAGATAATTGTTGTAATGTCACTGGCGCTGAATTATTATCGGTAGCAAACATTAAAATACGAAGTCATTTGAAAGATTAATATTCGTTGATGTCTCTTAGTAAGTTGTTTCTTCTCACGTAAACAGTAAAATGTATTATTTGTTAAAATCTTCTTATATTTTTCAGAAAAACACAGAACATAAAGACACAGTGATTCGGTTCCAACGTTACACATAATCATTTAGAAAATTACACTCATTTATTGATAACATAGAGCGATACCTTCTATGTAGGTCAATAGGTCAAGAAGTCTACAGTACACATTTTCTAACGAGACGAATAGTTTTGGGCCTGAATAACATTATATAATTATCAACAGTAGATATCTTGTGCAATAACACATGTACAAATTATATACATTGTACACCTCATACAAACCTATTCAAAATATATTTTTATAACAACTTATACTGTCTATAAGTTACATAATCAAATCTTTAATGAATTGTAATATGTATAATACGTTCCTACAAAACTGTGTCACGATATACTCTAATACTCGTGTTAAATGTTCGTTAAAACTACGACTATGACAATAAAAAATATACTGAGGGCCGATGATATTTTCGTACACATATTTTGTATATCGCACAGTTTCGAAATGGTTTTCGGTTCGTTGCTGTCAATCGACCTGATCCCGCTTACTTGTGCTCATTTATGGCCATTTTTCATGTACAGATGAGCCTTAATAAGCGGCAGGAAAGTGGAGTTTTACCGGTGGTGGGAGAAACAGCGGCGAGTTAGGTGTGTCCCCGAGTGAATGATATTAAAACGCTCGTGTACGAATCGCCGCTGTACGTACGGTGTTTTTATTCCAATTATAGAGACAATATTGCGCAAGTAAATGTTCAGAAAAAAAGAATAAAAAAGAAGCTTATATGGTTAAATTGGGGAAAGTTCTCGGAGACTCTAAGAAAAAAAAGTGATCCCTGAAAATGGCGGTCTAAGAGAGTATATTAGTTTCCTTATTATGTAGTTTATGCCATCATAAACGGTGACATCATCGCGCAGATTTATACTTATTTAGTATGTTTAGCAAGGTGTCTCCTATTTGCCTGTGTACGTGCATCCACGCAGATGTGGACACGCGCCTACCAAGAATTATACAATCCTTTCTGGCGCTTCCAAAGCGCACATTCCTACCATACTTTATTTCCGTTCACTCTTTGAATGTATTTTCCGATCATTAGAATTTTACGTTTGGAAAACCAAAATGGAATAATAGAACCACCATTTTTTTTTTCGATCCTTCGAGTTTTCACGACATTCTCAAAACGGAAAGAATATAATTTTGTTTACGTTTTACGTTTGAGAAATGTAAAAAGTGTTATATTTTAATTGTATTCCTTTCATTTGAAGAATATTGTAAAGAATGGAAGGTTTGCACATTCAGAACATTTGTTTTGTTTCGGAAACATTCTGATGCATTACGTGTTCTCCTTAAAATAAGTATAATTTTGTGTTACTTTATATTAAAATTCAGACTCATAAGAAATGTTGACCCAATGATTTCATTTGTTATAATATTATCGTCGTTCTAATTGTAATAATAAAATTTTGGTTAATGTGATCCTCGATTCTTTGCCAGCTGTTCAAAGAACAGTAAACAAATGTTTTACTTCTGACTATTAAACAATATGTAGTAAATTGTAGATTTTTGCATATTAGTTTATATTTTCTTTACTTAAGTAATAAGTAAAACATTCTTATTTCAACTCCTCGAAGTGTATTCACTAGTTGCCTTTTGTTTATTCTATAATACTGGTAAGTTTAGAATTCCCTTATACCCACACAATTATATTTTACTCCAATTGACAGGTAGGTAATATCTACGAGAGAGAATTTGTTTTTTTTTTTAAACTAGGTACTTCGTACATTAATTTCCGTCAAGAAGCAATTTCGTCAGAAGTATGAATCTTCATATAATTGTTTCTGTTCAAGTACACTACTCGTTACGATTGTCCTGCTACAATATCTTGTTCTTGCAAGGTAATAATAGTTAAGAAGTTTCGTCACACCGCGATAAGAACATGTGACACCAGGAATTGAATTTTTAGTGGAAAATTCTCAAACAACCTTCGAACGATGAACAACAAATTTTTCTTTCTTTGTCCATAGAACAGGGTGCTCACATTCCAATACACCATTGTGATTTAGCTCGCTTATCGTTCCGCGTCTATCACTCCTTATCTATCACCTATTTTCTGAGACGCTAATAGCTTCAACTGTTCAGTTTTACTTATTCCATTCAAAAAAAAAACAAAAATAAAAGAAACAATAATACAAATCCTAAAAATCTAATTTACCTGTTAATTGGAACACGATCTTCAGAATTATAAATTCATCTGAATTGGTTGTTTTAAGAGTCAAAGTGTTTGTTAAAAACGACAAATTATTATAAATAATAATAGTAATATTACATCGAATAAGAAGTTCTATTTTTGAAAGATATTGTCGTGTGCACAACACGTGCTTTACGACACATAAATCGATGACGTGTGATAAGCAATAAATACTCAATACATTTTAATAGTAATTACAAAACCGACTAGGTTACTGTTTTTTTTTTGCAAAAGATACAGTTAATGACAGGTAGCAAGTATTTATCGTCGGATCGATTACTGGTTGCATGAAATAGATTTAATTGTAATAGAATCTCTATTATCCGAGTCTTTGATTATCTCGTGATCCATTTATCCGGAATGAGGCAACCTGATACGCCGGGGGTAACATCGTTTTCAACGGATATAATTACATGCTGTTATTTTCATTCAGCGTTTTGTTACTTATTTGCTGTTTCGAAGAACACGATAACGACTTATTATGACTGTAACAAACATAGCGATCTGAGATTTAAGAAATTCTTCTTTTTCATTATGATGATTTCCAATTGAACGAAATTAGCGAAACGGTCAGATTGTTATCGATTATTTTCTTGTGATCGCTGTACGCACAGGAATCATTTATTGACTAATGCTTAGACTTCAAGATGGCTTTTTTACATGTCTGGAGTAACTACGACCTTGTTTTTAAATAACTAGCATGTAGATCAGTTCTGACTCAAATGGAATTCTAGTACATTTTTAAAGTTTACGAGTAGGTTTAATTTAACATGACAGTATCAATTTTATGATAGTTATTTAGCCAATGTATCACAATTTAGTTATTTTGCAGAAGAGACGATTTTATAGATAAAGTCGACTGTTTAACATCTCTTTGGTCTTCATAACAATGACATTTGACAACAGATATATCAACTTGCAATTAATCCAAGAATAACTGTTAGAGGATTCATGGAATTTTTACGAAAACATTTCAAACTATTACCGAAGTTTTTTCACCTAAAAGAAGTACCTACGTTTATTTTTCTATCGATGTGCAAAGATGTCGTGAGCCAAACAATACTCAAATATGTACATAACCTCAGTGAAATTACATAAAATCTCGGTTATTCCAAGAATGTTCTCCAACAGACACTCCAAAATCAACTATAACCTTTCATTCCTTACAAACACTATTTTTCATGTGCTATTCATCCATTATTCTATAACAACCACCTCTATCCTCGCGTTCATTTTGCACCTCAAGCTTCTGCCCGTTACTCCAAACCCAAAGACCAAAATTCCCCACCAATTTGCGCATTGCCAATTCTGTACCCGCGTAAGAACCATTTCCCCACCTTCTTTTACACGGTATTAAATCTGAACAATTCAACGCCCAAATTATGTTTCCTTTCGTACGATTTGCATAACTCGAATAAAGATGGGCGCCAAATTATCATCTCTCCGGTTCCGAAACGATTCCGCCCGTTCCTCTCCTTCGTTCCGACCAGCGGCGTCACACGACGGTTCGTATTCTCAAACGTCGCGTCCCGCATTCCACTGAAACCACACGACGCAACGACGACAACGATAATAGCAGGTATGTATCTGTTAACAGAAAGTGATACCTCGGTTACAGAAAGCCAACCGAGAAGGAAGAGAGACAGAGACACGGAATGCATTTTCCACCGCGAGGAAAATATTTTCCGTGTCCTCTAGGCCGTAAACAACGTTCCACGAACGGAGATTCCAACGCGCGCCAAGTGTAGTCCCCGTCCGAGAGACTTTCGTGGTGGGTATACACACCATCGGTGTATCTCGAGTGGCACTCCAAGGTCTGGCCTTTTGCGTGTGGATATATAGTAGGCATCAATTGCGACGCAATAGCGAAAAGGATCGCCTCTGTCGTACGATGATAACCGGGCGCCCAGGCGTCTTGTTCCTCGCTGACACCACGCGTTTCATCCGTAACGTTACACGATTTCTAATTCATCGGACTAATTCCAGACCCAGAATCCTTCGGAGATCTTACTTGTTCGAAGTAAGACGTTTCGATTCCCCTGTATACGTGCCATAGAACCACTCCACGTTGGGTATATACGTGCCATTTTGATCTACAGGATGTTTCGCGCACGCAAATTCCTTGCATAATTACACCTACTTATGTGCCTACTTATCCGCCGCCTCGTGACGAACCGAAAGTCCCCCCCCCCTCCATTGTCGAAAGGATTCACTTGAAAAAAAGGTTTTCGATCGAAATGCTCGGTATGTACAATTTCGGCGTGTCTATCCACCGTGTTGTGGGCTCCAGGGGAACGGTCTTACAAGCGATAAATTCCATCTCGTTGCGCAAGAAATTCCATCGGGGCCTCTCGTGTATACGCCTCTTCTCGTCGTTGCGCATAGTCGTGTATAGTAGGTAAGCGCGCGCGCGCGCGACGACGGGCAAATCCGTTTTGTCCTCGACAGTAAAATAGCATTTATTCCGCGAGAATGAGTCGTGATCCAGTCGTCGTCAACAACCGCAACCTCGCTTCGAGGACCGATACATGTGTTATATTCCGATCCCTGGTAACTATCTAGAGCGCGCGCTCGGGCGTACAGGATCAGACACTAATGCAAACCTCGCGCGGCGCACCGATCTGTCAGCCGCAGTAGCAGCGAGGATAGGTCCACTTCACACACAACAGGGGCGGGGATCATATGACATACAGTTGCCGGCAGCCGTGATTTTCAAAATTCCTCGGGACACTCTCGAGAGGGATGTGGTTGTATGTATGTATACACAACCTTCGATGCTTACCTTTGTGCCTGCGCCACTGTCTGTAGAGGAGGGCAGCAACGATCAGCAGGAGTATCGTCGTGAGAAATGTACCGATCACAGCCCCTGCCACGCTTCCTGCCCCGAAACATGTATCCCGTGGCTCGTCCTCCATTGCTCCTTCTCAAGCTGCTCTCGTACGATGCATTTCCAAGTTGGCCGGCCGCGTCGCACCGCGGCTTCGTTTCAGAGGCGTCTTTCCGTGTGCGCGCGTTTTAACACCGTGGTTTTTTTAATCCACCGGCGGGATCACACGGAATTCCTGCCGTGTGGTGTGAACCGTCGTCGTCGTCGTGACGGTTGAGGTCTTTTACACACGCGTGCCCGCACTGTTCACCGCGACTGCCTCCGATGTGCATAAGGAGACATTATTTTCACTTGGCGAGTCGTTGCCCTTTACCGAAGAATCACCACTCCGCGGATTGGAGACCGTCCTACTGCCGTGACACCGTGCACGATACTAAGAGAAAGAGAAAAAACAGAGAGAGAGAAGGAGGCTGCTGGAAAAAGAGAGAGAGAGAGAGAGTGACAAGGAGTGAGAGAAGGATAGAGAGGAAACGAGAGAGGGAGAACGGACCCATGGATCGAGTAAAACAGGTAGCTGCGCAACAGGTGCTTCTGCCTATGAGGTGGGGATTCTACCTCTACGCGGATTTACGGCGTGGTTAGGGGGGGGGGCAGGAGTGGAAACGAGCATTCGTACCAATGGTGGGGGAATCTGGCATTCCTTCACCGTTTCAGAGCTGACCGTATTTTCTGGTACCTAGCCTAGAAGCGTTGCGTGAATGCAAACCGTAGGCGTGTAAGGAAACGATTCGTGTGTATTGATCAGGATCTCGTACATTTTCTTTTTTTTTTTTACCCTTTTTCTTCGGAACCAGAATACCAACGTCCGTAGCAGCCATTTTTAAATTACAGGAACAAGATTTTGTTTGTAGATTTACATATGTGACTTCGGTCACGTGTATTTATTGTCTTTGTAACAAAAACCACACAGTGTTCATATAAAATAGCTTTTTAGTATTGTACTTGAGTGTATACTTTGCTCGTGTGTATTTCAAAGTGTATCGAACGTATTGTTTTTTTGAATTAAAAATTTTGTTAACCTTACGAACGATGTTTCTTTAGGCAGTGAGCATGAAATTCTTGCTTATAATTTTTATGTATTCAGGGGAAATGTATCGCTGGAATCATCTGGTGAGAAATGTAAATGTCCACGTAATTTGGTGAACATGACAGAATTTGACAGACATCGAACGGAAAATTAAAAATTATTATCATAAAATACCGTAGGAAATAATAAAATTAATAAAAATTATTACTGAACGATCATTGAGTCGTTTGGAAACTTTTGGTCAGTAATAATTACAACTAACTTTGATCATCGGTGTTAGATGCACGTTAGCAAGCCTGATTATTTCGAGCGTATCATCGCGTACCGTTTTTTGCAGGATTCTATCTAATTTATATGCATTAGAACTCGGTCTAATTTCTATACGCCGGAAATTCTAAAGCGTGAAATTATAATTACCAATTTATAAAGCGTATAGCAGGAGTTTCTTTCTTGTTATCGATTCAAATTTTGTAATTACAATGAAAAAAATTTTTCGAACATTGATAATATGTAACGTATATCATTCTAGAACTTGTTTATAGTAAATAAATAAAAAAAAAAGTATTGCGAATGATGCTTCTATACAAAATACATTTACAGTATTTATACGTCGTGATACATAATGATATTTGGTCAGGTTTTTTCTGCTTAACTCTAAATCGGTATTATACATTAACAATTGCGATTATAATTTATAACCACAGACGAGGTATAGAATAGACTTATCATCTTATGGGATTTTGTGTCTCATGTTCTGAAATACCGATCGTGACAACAATTTATCAGAATTCATGCTTTATTGGTAACGTCGAGTATTAACACTAAAATGGTAAGAAGGATACTACATTGCCCTCCGAACATGGGACATAATAAAGCATTGTATGATAGGTCTATTCGATACCTAGTTGGTGTTATAACTTTATGAATTAATATTCAATTTTTTTGTTACATGTTTACGGTAATGCCGCCTATAGTAAACTGCTCAAGTTATTAGCCAATTGCAACCATTTCTCATCACCAGATGGTGTCGTCAGATACTTACATTGAACAAATGGTTCAGGCCCATGGAAATAGGAATATTATTTGTATGTCTACGTTCAAGCTTGCACCTAGCCGGTATCATAGACAAGATATAGAATGGACCTACCACAGACGAGGTATAGGAGTAGACATTTCATCTTATGGGAGTTAGTGGCCCACCTAAACTGTGGTACCGACACCTTAAAAAGCCTAATTGTAGTGACCTCTACGTTATAAGAGCTGGGAATCTGCGGTGGGTAGCGACACCGACTAGGTATAGGATAAACCTATCAACCGGAAAATAGTTGGCGCCGAATGTTAACGTATCTTAACGATTTATATCTGAAAAAATTGCTCTCAATTTGCTCCTTCCGAATCTGAAATTGTTCCCACAGCACTGTTAATAGTTAATGAGATATTCGCAAAAGAAAAAGCAAAAATTTGTTGTTAACAAAATAGGTCCGCAATGGCCTTTTTACACAAATATTATAGCACCAAAAAATTGCTCCTGATCTATTTGATAATATTCAATTGACAGATGTTTTAATAATACCTTATTAACAAGGAGCAATTGAAATAATGTTGTTGCATACAGGCACTGACTAGGTATAGAATAGACCTGTCATCCAATGCTTTTTTTTGTCCCACGTTCGGAGGACTACGTAACCCTCTTACCATTTCAGTGCCAATACCCGACGTTACCGATAAAGCATGAATTCTGAGTATTATTAGCACAAATGGAGCATTATATATTCCATTCATAAGACGTGTATCCAATATGATTTGGTGGGAATAAAAATATCCGATGCTTCGGTTTAAGAGATGAATATTGTAATACTGATGAAATATGATAACTTATTCTAAATTTCATCGTTAATGAACATTTTAGTAATGTTACGTTTCCCACGTATCCTTTTTATTCGTTTTTATATTTTTTTTATCTGATAACGTGATATAAGAATCCTAATACGCATAATCAATTACCTTCTGGTAATTGGCGAGGAAGTAATTAAACAATGAATTTCGACCCAACTAGAACTTAGCTAGTCAAGCTTTCTTCATGAAAAATAGTTTTGATCTATTATTTAACTGGTAATATCTATTGTATTGTATTCCATAAATTTTGGCATCATTGTCAAATTGACAGGATATATTTATCATAGATGGCGTTAGAGAACCATTGGAGGATTGAAAACTTCGAGAAGACGGGAGTAAAATTAATACTTTCGATCTATTAGGAAGTGGAATATCACATTTTCGAGGATAGTGTGTGTCTCTTTGTTTCCTTTTCATGATAGTCATTCCCTCCTGAATTAATCTCGGGTGCATATAAGAAAATATATTGAAATATAATTCGGCGGTAAATATTCTATTTCGTTTAAATAGAAAGTTGAGCAAGCAGGAAAGCGACCAATCCTCACGTTCTTCACCAACCGACGCACCAATCACAGGCCTTATACATAACCGAATCAACCAATGACAGCCAGTCAGCCAGCCTAACGGTCATTCGTCTCAGGGAAGCTGGACTGATTAGACGTGTAGTGATCTCGCTCGTGGCGAAGTAAGTATTATTACTTTTCACTTTAAATTATTTATGCTATTAGTATCTACATTACCACTCTATCGTTACATTTGTTTAGTATCTATTCAATTCAATGCAAATAATCGTAAATTAACTCGGTATTGCTGGATAAAGTGAACTGGTTTCACGATTTCTGTTCTCTCCCGGTACCAATTAGTATTTACGCAGTTTTTGTTTAATTTGCAATCTTTAGCGATACTCTTTGAGTCAATAATTGTTTCGTTGTGACTCAGTCATTGTTAATTTAGTATAATTACTTGGTAGTAACGTTTATTTTCTGCTCCAGAATTTCGGCAAGAAAGAACGCGCCAACGATGCCAATTCCATTAGACGCAATTTGGCGGGTAATGGTGAATTGGTGAATTCTGGTGACGTATTACAACAAAATAGTTAATATTCCACCAAATATTTTTATTTTAGTACAGTTTTACTGTTTTGACCGTAAACTTGATCGCGATTTTCTGATTAACTGTGCTGAAAGCAAACAAGAATTTTTTTGAGAAATATTTCGCGTTCAAACGCAATTGAAGCATTCAATATGGCTTCTTATTTGACCATTAGGAAATTTAAACGGGAATGTTCCAGAAGTTTCAATTCGAAATACTCATAGTTTACTGGATCTCGGTCGCGAAATTGTTTAAATTTTAATAATTTTTCGAGTTTATCATTACGATGTCATCGTATTTGTATTTATATACGGTTTCAGGTGTAAGTTTAATTATACATATAGAAGCTGCGTAGTTTACGATGCTCATCGAAGCTTAAGTAAATAACGAAGCTTTAATCCTTGCAACGATTTTCTCAATATTTATAAAATTCGGTACGCGATGTAGACAGAAATAACGAACATTCTTAAACTCTAACGACGAATGTCTTCAATATAATATATTAATAACAAATATATATCAGTAATGAATATAATATATTGAAACAATGGAGAATTATTTTGGAATATTTTTTAACTATGGTACCTTTGCGTAGTTAAATTCATATTTGAATATTTATCGTCGAATGACAGTATTTTCATGATAAAAACACTTGGTAAAATATAAAAATAAAAGGGCTAAGCCGGTGCACGTGCGCCGTATTGTATTTCTTTCCCCCCTTTTTTTTCCACAGTATTTGGTGGCCGCGTGCAAGGCGGTCGAGTCGAGTCAGTGTTTGTTTACATCGAAGTTTTTTCTGTTTACGCGGAGCGAACTGGCGCCGATTAGGACTTCACCGGAGATGTATTATGGTCTTCGCGGAAGTAGAGTCAATGTTTGTTGCGTACAATCTCAAATTATTTTCAGAGTTTCGGGACACTCTTTGCTTTGTGTGTTGCGAAAGTAGAATCATTTGTTCGCCGGTTGAGATTTTCGGTCGCGATAGTTTTTTATTTTCATTTTTTTTCTACTTGAAAGTACTCGTTCGCGAAAGTAGAGTCAGTGCATCACTGAAGTGGATTTTTGGGCGAAGCTCTACAAATAGAGATTGTAAGTATCCTTATATTTTATTACTTACACTGTTCAACTGAAACAGCTAGAGTTTTGAGAAGAGGTTCTTAGGTGTTCTGTTCCTTTGTTTCAGATTTATCAGATGCTGCATAAACAAACATTGCAGAGGATGTCCTTGGGCGAAGCTGCACCATTTTTCAAGATTCGTCGAGAGAGAATATTAAAGGGAGCTCTTCAGTCATCGGGTGAGTGAATGTTTTTATTCCTCCAGTCCCCAATCGTGTC